ATTTTTGTAGGCATAGCAATCGGACTTTAAGTGCCCCGGTTTTCCACAATGGAAGCAAGTAGGTGCTTCTCTTTTTCCTTGCTCACTAGACGACCCATTTCTTTTGAAGTGGTTGCTCTTTTGGAACTTCTTCATTTGAAGAATTCTTCTTACGGTTTTGGTAATGAGAGCAACTTCTTCTTCTTCTTCATCATGAGGAACTTTATCAATTGTAACTTCTTTGGTAGTAGCTTGTAGAGCTATATCCATCTTTTGAGTTTCTTCATCTCTATCATTCATTTCTAGCTCGTAAGCCATTAATGAACCAATAAGTTCGTCAATGGGAAGTGTTTTAAGATCTTTGGCTTCTTGGATGGCGGTCTTCTTAGCTTCCCAATTCTTTGGCAAAGATCTAAGGATTTTTCTTACATTGTCGGATGATGTATATTTTCTTCCAAGAGCTTTCAAGGGATTAACAATGTTAGTAAAACGAGAGTACATTTCACTAATAGTTTCTTTGTTATTCATGGTAAAAAGTTCATATTTATGGACAAGCATATTCATTTTGGATTCTTTAACATGACTAGTGCCTATATAGGTAACTTCAAGTTTATCCCAAATTTCTTTGGCCGTTTCGCAATCCAAAATTCTATTGAATTCGTCTTTGCTTAAGGCACAATAGAGATTAGTGATAGCCTTGACATTACATTGTACAAGCCTACGGTCATTGAGGGTCCATTCAATATCGGGTGTTCGAACATTTTCACCTTCTACTATCTTGGTTGGAACATGGTCTCCTTTTTCTATGGCTTTCCAAACATCTACATCTATGCCTCTTAAGAATGCTCTCATTTTGATTTTCCAATAGTTGTAGTCAATTCCATCAAACCAAGGGGATCTATTGTTAGATTGACCTTCTTGATGGAAAAGTGCATTGGCCATGATCGTTCTCTAAGATGATTAGTCTTTTTCTAGAGATTAGGCTCTGATACCAATTGTTAGTCACTAATTGACTCTAGAGTGGGGGTGAATAGAGTCAAGGAGCAATTTTTTCAATTTAAAAATATATTTCTACCAAACTGTTGAATATCAGTTTATTGAAATATTCAAGCAAAATAAAGCACAAAAATAAGAGAGATAGAGATAAGAGATTGCAAACAATGACTCGATGATTTAGCGAGGTTCGGAAACTCCTACTCCTCGGCTCAAGATCCCCCTTGAGACTTCCCAAATTCACTAGAGTTTCTCCTTAATGGTGGAGAGCAAACCTTCACTTTTGAAATAAGATCTTGCTTCTCTTCTTTGCTAGGAGAACACCCTTCTCCTAGGCTTTCTTTTGGGTTACACCAACCCTTTACAATAGCTTTGAAATTTGAAGAAACAAGTGTACAAGAATCTCTCAAAGATAGATTACAGAGTTTAGCTCACAACTATAGAAAAGATGAATATACGTGAAGCTCAGAATTACTACAGTGATATGAAATAACAGAGAGGGAATGAAAGCTCAGAAAACTTCTTTAATGCTTTTCAAGGAATGATAGAATGTTCTCTGTTAAAAAAGATCATTTAGTTTGAAGACCAACCTCAGTATTTATAGAATAAACAGAGTTCAATATAGCTGTTAGAGGTTGTTGAGAACATTTAATGAAAATGTTTACGTTACAATTCAAAACCCTAAAGAGAGCCATCTCTTGAAAACCAAAGAGCCTGCTCTTTGTTCATTTTCCTTGGAAAGAGCCTGCTCAATAAAAACGTGAGCCTGCTCTTTATTTTGAAGATCCATTTTCGTAGCTTTCTTGGAACAAAAAGAGCCCTCTCTTTCTTTTGATTGAGCCCTCTCTTTTTCTTAAATACTTCTCAAAGACTTACTGGAGTTAAAGAAAAGAATCTTCTCAGAGCTCACTGAATAAGAGAAAAGAGCCTTCTCTTTATTTTATGGAGCCTTCTCCATCTCACATTATGATACTTAATATGAAATTCTTTAAATCCTGTGAATGTGATCATGAGCTGATTTTATTTTCTTTGAGAAATAAAATGGGAATGCAATGCATGGATTGAATTTTGAGCTTCAAATATATTCAAATTAACTTTGACATTAGATCTTAAGCTCTCACCATCTAATCTACCATTTTCTTTAATCTTTGACCATGATCGGTTAGCCTTTGATGGAGTACTTGAATAATCTTTGAATTCTTGCAACTTCAATGCTTCCTTGAATCCATTGCTTGAGTACTTGGAATGCTTCTGGCTCAATATTGAGGATTGAATTAATTGATCAACTATATAGCACTCAAGGAAAATATTAGTACATAAACATCATTAATGGTTTGTAATCATCAAAATATAAGATTGACCTTTAGATTAAATCCTTAGGCCAACAAGTATAATAAGTGTTCCCATATCCGTTATTAATGGGGCGGGATAGGGCAGGGCCCCGGCGGGGCGGTAAAAATTGACATCCCTAGATGCCAAAAGGAAAAGGGGGAAGATTGGCCTAAGATTGCTCACATCCCAGAGCTTTACGTACGTTGAAGGTATCCTTCTTAATCTGACTCCTTTATGTATCCTATCCACCATAAAACTATTTATATCCTTCCTTCTATAGTCTATAAGCAACAATACCATTCCACCAGAATTCACATAGCATAGCACATTACGAAAGATGTTCTCATTTATCTATCCTCACTCTATATTGGACATTACTTTTAGAAACTGCCAAAAGCCGGTTCAATATCCTATGGTTCGAATCTGTATTCAAATCTCCAGATTTTATTATAATTGAATCAAAATCGATTTTAGTGATTTGATCTGATTCAAATTTGAATATGACGAAGTATTTTTATATATACTTGATAATTTTTTCTCTGAAATTCTTTTTTAAGTTTTATGAAAAATTTAATTTATTTCCGTCAATACAATTAAGAGAAAATTTAGTGTTATATATGTAATTTCAAATTTTTCTTGGAGTCACCTTACCTTGTTAGGTTAGCATGAGCCAAATTTGAAGGAGATATGTGGGAGTGGTAGGAGATTTAAACTATAATATCCTAAATCACTTGTAACATAGCAGTAACTCGTCCAATCACATGGTCCCTATTGTGCCACCTCCTTAGCTTTAGGTTTCCTGTTAATTGATTGCTGCAAAAAACTGAAAAAAGAAGCCGATGAAATGATGAACATGTTTCGATACAAATCAGTGTTGTGTATTGGGTTTCAAAAAGCTCAGAAACGGACTAAAAGAAGTTAGATGGTTACAACTGGGCATAATTAATGGAGGTCTTACTTTTGAAGTCCCAAAAAGATAATATAGGATCCAATTTATTTTATTTTTTTATTTGTTTTTTTCCGGAGACAATTTTTTTTTTTTTTTTTTTTTTTTTTTTTTTTTTTTTTTTTTTTTTTTATGTGCCGTTGAAGGGTTAGCTTTAAAGAATGTACCATCGGTGATTCATAGAATTTCATTTTATTGAATAGTCCTTAAAACTAAATAAAAAGTAAGATGAGATTTCAACATTTTTTCCGTCCAACATACTATCCTTGCATGTACTAAGTTGAATCCCAATTAAGTGGGTTTTGAACAAAGGCAGACCCCCAAAGCACCAAGAACCCAGTTGACTTTATATCCTTGCATTTTCATTTAGCAGCTACGGTTAAAAATTCAAGAAGGTCTTCTGTACTTCATAAAATCTAGTTTGTCTCCATTTAAGATTACCTCTATAGTTTGTTTTGTAGATGTAAAGAATACTATAATCAAAATGTCATTGCCACGTACTTAGGGCAGTTCTTGTGAATATAGTTGGCTGTACTAATTTCTAACAATTTTACCTCAGTATTTCTATGGTTTCCAAGCTCAACCAACCAACATGAAAACCTGCATTAGATTAGAGCAAGAGATCTTAATTGACCAATTCTCCCCTGCCTAGCTTATTTTTTTTTAAATGATTGACACAACGTATTGTCCCTGATGAAATTTGAGTCGTATAAACTGTGCTTTGCTAGTCCACATCAAGGATAATTCAGGAGGTAGGGAAAGAGAAAAATTAACTTGGGTAGAACTATTAATATATATAAAGAAAGATATAACATGTGCTTTTGACTGATGTTATGGCATCAGATAGAATGGAATGGAAAAATAGGATTCATGTAGACTTTGCTCAGCGAAGTTCGGAATTATCTTCCACCAGTGCCCGTTTATGTGTTACTCTAATGTATCCATTTGTATATTTTAATGTAGGAATATCTTTTCTCCTACCTTATCAGATTGTTATTTATTTGACCTGTGCAGTCTTTTTCTTACTGAACATTGTGAGTTCTCTAAATTGTCAATTATTCGATCGGTATAGCAATTGATTTCAAGTAACATCTGAATTTTCTCTCATGGCCATGGATGCATCTGATGCATTGAGTTGTACGTATGATATTACCACAAAAATCTTGGTGGAAAGTATCTTATTCTTTACTTGATTGCCAAACTACATCTCTCTATATGTAAATTTTCTTCTTGTGATAAATTGTAAAATATTCTGAACGATTTGGGAACTTCTTGCCTCAATGCATGTGGATATTAATCACCCACTCAAAATGAATAAATTACATATCATTTTTGCTTGTGCGTTACCATCAAATTAAATTCCTAAACCTTTTGGTGGCTAGTTTGGGGCGGGTTTAGAACATAGAACATATTAAATAAGTGAGGGCATAAATGATATTTCACTCTTTTTTTAGATGAAAAGTTAACTTCGGATCAAACTAAGAGTTAAAACCAAAATTTTCATCCAAATAAAATTTGACCTAACCTGAGGGATCTCATGATTTTCAATAAGCCTGATGTCCCTTTTCTCCAAACTCGCCCTGTTTTCCCTTGATGTGTCGATACAAATCCCAAAACTTAAAACAAACAATTGGCTAAAGAATATTATAGGAAATAAAAATTGCCAAAATCAAGTTGAGAGAGAAAAGAAATGGTTTAAGAAAACTGATACCAACACACCCCTTTGTAGCACAAAGAAGATGTAATGAACTGATACCAACACACCATTGTATTAGACATAAATATACTTCAACAAGAGAGAATCATTACATCATAACCATGAAAATATAAATGAAAGGTGTAGTAATATTGCACTCATCCGGTAACAGTAATCCCCCTCCGATAACAATATCGATCCTCTCTCCGTTTCTCTCTCTCTACAAATATAAATGAAAAATATAATATTGAAATGAATGCAAGCTAATAGAAAGATGGCAAGAGAAACAACATTTTCGGAGGAAGCGCTGGTGGAGGTCGGGCAGATGATATCATTCTACAGCAAGCAAAGTGAAAATACCAACGAGAGAGTCTCGGGCCGAAACCACGTTGGACGAGAAAAAACTGGATATGTATTCCCACTGCAGAACAAATAGATAGAACATCCAGGATCCAGAGTAGTAAAATTTTATAACAAATTGAATTGTCTGGCATGACAAAAAAGTAAATTAAGCCGTTCTCGAAGGCCATGTTGCTTGGGCGGACATAATTATTCCCACAATCACTCCAAACAACCCAAGTGCACTACCAAAGATTTCAATCACAAGAATCTTCACAAAAAGTGATGAGTTCTGGGCATCAGACAACGCACAGCTGCTTCCAATTATTCCCACACACAACCTGTTGCCAAACAGAAGAAAATAGATACAGACAATAAGAGATGAAAAAATGGAGAAAAGGATTATCATATGTTCATTATGAGATTTTAATGTAAACTAAGTAGCTGGTGGAAAAGTACCCGCAGACGAGGTTTGCAAAGCCCACAATAATCCCAGAGGCAAATATTGCATATCCTGCCCTAAGAGACTCAGGCGCGTATATCTTAGATGATGGAACACTCTCCAATTTTGTTTGCAGGATAATTGCCACAATAACGCCATATATAGCTACGGCTTCACAGAAGATTACACTGACAGCACAAAACCATTCAAATCAAATTACAATTTCAATCATCCAAAATTTATTATATTCAATGATCCATGAATGTTGACCAAAATTATTACAGAAAATGATGAAAGAATTTAAGAGAGAAAAACAAAAACCAAGGCATCATCATTGATGAATTTAACATTGTACTTTGTCTCCTCACTACTATGTCGTTCATATTTTTTATTTCTCTAGATGCCATTCATTAAAACAGTTTCCAAAATCTTCACAAAATTCTTACCTTGAAGCATGTCAATAACAAGCTTATTAGGAGACCAACCAAACTTGGGGTATTCAAATCTGAGAGAAAAAGATTAAAACAAAATGTGTGATCTCAGAATGTCTTTTAAAAAATGTGTGATTTCAGAATGTCTTTTCACATATATCATTTATTTCAACATGGGGACTGCATGATTCTTCTTTATATGTACAAATCTTTCCATACAAAACAATTCACCAATTACCGTACTGTTATCTCAAAGTATTTGATTGACTAAACTTATACAGTATTTTACAACAGATATGTGCACAAGAAGTTTGCAACAGATATGTGCACAAAAAGTTTACTCACGACCTGTCATGCCATGACTGTCAATCTTCTTTCAAGTTTCCTAGTTTTCAAACTTCTGTTTCACATATATTTTCAGTCAATAAAATAGCAAATATAAAACTTTCATGTTGCTTACATGAAGTTACATCCAGATAAAATATGACAAGGAAAAGAAATGCACTGCCCTTATAGCAAAATAAATATTAAATAGTAGCATGTCAAACAACATCCTTACTATAAAGATCATATTCGTCCGTTCCCATAGTTTTCTTTCTCACATTTTAAAATCATTTGAAGAATCAGAGAATATTAAACAAGTGTAGAGCACAAACATAGACTAACACTAAAGGAGAAAAATACAAAATAAGGAGATCATTTAGATTTGTATAAGAAAGTTTTTGTGATTGCTTCAGCATCCTGAATGTCATTCTCACAGTAATATTAGAAGCTTCCTTTTTGTTTAAGTTATACAAAGTAGGATGCCTGTCTTCTCTCAAGAAGGCTTTTATTGGAAAGTCTAACTGGTGAAAATCCAAGGTTTGGTTTGGTTTCCTCATTATATCACCATGAACGTGAGTGCACAAAAACTTAAAAACATGCCCAAGGAAATCTTTTCAGTCTTTTTGTTTTCTTTTCATATGGGTTTCTTGAAAGGATGCCCCATCCTTCATTGCAATATTTGTTATCTATTATTTTCTAATAAAATTCTTTGGTTTTGTTAGATGTGTGTGTGTAGTCCACATTAAACATTAGAAAATGCAGAAGAGAATTAACTCAACTTGTATATTTAAGGAAAAGAAGCAGATGTGTTTCAAATTTAGATACATAATATAGGACACATACGTTAAAATGGATTAAGTCCAAGACTCCCAGCTAGTTTAGGTTTGAGAAGATTTTACTTGTCCATGCATGTATGAACATCGGCTTATCTGTATATTATTTCCCAATTCTTCAGATTTCCGGTTTTTCACTCTCTTGCTTCCAAAAGGCTTAGGAGTTTAAGCAATAAATTAGACGAAAACAAACCTCAAGCCACCCTCTATGAATTGAAATTATTGCATTCTTGTCACTTGCTCTGCTCAAGTTCAAGTTCTCCATTCCTTGTCATTGCAAGGATTCTATATTGCACGGACTCTTCAAAAGTAGGTGAACTGCCCATGTTGGAAACACTACACTCGAACATGCGCCCAAAAATCATATCCAATGATTCTATTTTTTAAATATATTTTTGCTCGAGTGAAACACCTATATTAAACACCACGTAACATGAAGATATAAATTTACTCTAAATAAAATGAAAATATTAGATAATATGAATATTTATCCGTGTCCATGTAACTACTTGAGTAATTGATATTTTGGTTACTACCCACATCCGACACACGCATCAAGTCCTTAAGGAAGGAATTTTACAAAGGTAGGGCAATATAATGTATACCTCAAATCAATTTGGAGAAAATAAGTTGCATCAATTTAAGACTACAAATTTGCTATCAAGGTACACTGTTGAGCTTGAATAAGAACATTTTTATATAATTGGACTTTTAGAAATTAATTCTCGTTCAATTGTAACACATGGCTTATAAGATCCTATTAATTGCATTAAATCGGACTAATCACTGAATAATCTACACCCAAAAATCAAACTGAGCAATTCAATACACAAACGCTTAGAATCAAATTGAAGAATTTAGAGAAAACCAAAGCTAGGGTTTTTTTGTTTGTACCTAATGAGATTCTTGGAAGTGATACGTGGAGCTTTGATTGCCGCACCAATCAAACTACTTCCTGTTATATAAATCCCCCTAACATAGATAGATTCAAGAAAATCAAAAGGTATAAGAAATAAAAAGCAATAACAAATATATGTATATTTATATGTATATGTGAATATACCAAGCAGCGCCTAGAACAGAGACGCCGATGGCTATGGCGATACCAACGGCAGAGAAGGTGTAAGGAGAGATCTGCACCATTGCGCGAGACCACGAGCTCGATGCTCCCACCATTGTCGAAGTCGACATCGATTTAGTTTTGGTACTTTCTCCTCAGTTCTCTGTCAGGGAGGTCTGATATCAATACGATGATCCAGAACGGTAAATAAATATATATAAATTAAATGAATAAAATGAATATGACATAGAGAGAAACAGGGTGTGTTTTGTGGCACGTGCCCTCCGCGTGCAATGTGACCACGACCACACTTAGATAATGAGCCTAATTTGTTCCAATTTTTATTTTTATTTTTATTTTTGTAACACATGTCACAAAAATATTAGTCGTACTATTGTTATTGTTATTTTTATTATTATTATAATACATGAATTCCTATATAATTTGAAAGTGCTTAACCATTTGAGATATATATATATATATATATATATATATATATATATATATAGATTTTGATTATAAAATTGAATGGCTAAAACTGAAGTTCATGTGATCATATTTTATAAGTTTGGTAAGAACTTAATTTTTTAGTTTTACTTTCAATTCACAAAATTCCATGTAGTATATAAAATCAGATTAACATCTTTAAAAAAATTAATAATTTTGTATAATTTAAACACGGGTACACTTACTCAGGAATTAGACACTATACTAATTAGGACATTAAGTAATGTCCGAAATTTGGCAAATATTTTACTTGGTTAAGAAAAAATCTCACTTTACATTCCATTATCCATTTCTTTGATTACTATAAATTTTGGAATAGCATATGAAGTAATTCAGTTGCATCCTCTATATCTTTTGCACAAATTCTCATAGAGAAACAAAGGCAAATCCAGAATTGTCAATGGGGCTAATATTGAACATAAATTTAATTACATAATTTCATAAGCAATTTTTTTTTGAATAGGTTAAAAGGGGCTAATACTACTATTAATTTTTTTAAAAAAAAAAAAGTTGGCTAAACATACTATACTAATTTTTTTTTTTTTTTTTTTTTTTTGGGGCTCAAGCCCACCCAACCCCCCTCTGTGTCCACCACTAATGATTCATGTAAATGTCATTTTCCCTAAAAAAAAACCCATCCCACGAGTCATGAAAATGTCATTCACCCATTAAACAAGGGTTGTTTTTTTGTTTCTGTTACTGTTAATATATACTCACCATTATTCGTGTAAAACCAAAAACAACACAAACAACATTAGAACTCTCCTAAAACGTCTCTGCAATGGCTGAGGTTTCATTCCTCTGCAAACAAACCGTGGTCAGCACCAAGCCGGTGCAGCCCGGTAAATTCTACCCTCTATCGGTTCTTGACCGTGTGATGGAACGGAACCACCTCCGCGTGGTGTACTATTACCGGACTCCGATGAGGAGGGAGGCCGGAGAATTGACTAGGAAGCTTATGGAGTCTCTCTCGGAATTGCTTTCCTGCTTTCCAATGGTGATCGGTAGGTTGGAGCAGAGCGAGGAAGGACATTGGAGGATCAAGTGCAACGACGCGGGAGTGAGAATGGTGGACGCGAGGGCGAGAGGGAGTGTGGAGGAGTGGTTGAGGAGTGTGGATAGAGAGAAGGAGCTTAAGCTTGTTCATTGGGAGGACATGTTTCACAAGCCCTATTTTTGGTCTACCTTTTATCTTCAGGTAAAATAATATTCACTTGGAAGTTCTAAATTTTGATCACCAACTTCTTGTAAGAAAATGAATAATGAAGATATTGTAGGGTAAGATTGGTGACTAAACCAAATCATGGTGAATGAAATTAGTTTAAGGTTAGATTAATTAAACCGCGTCAATTGTAGTATTACTCGTTGAGAAAGTCACAATGATTAAGTTGTTGTGGTAGAGTCCACAACTATGTGAGACAGTTGATTAATTAAGCGGTGTCAATTGTAGTATTATTCGTTGAGAAAGCCATGATGACTCAACTGTTGCAATAGACTCCACAAATTATGTGACACAGTCGATTACTGCTTAGTAGTTGTCAATTGTAACATTACTAGTGGAGAAAGTTAAGATGACCTTAATTTAAGGTATAGTAATTGTAATACTTGCATGGTTAACATTGTGGCACCAATTAATACATGGTTAACAAATGGGCATTTTTATATTTTAATAGATGCTTAATTGGTGCAACACAAATGGACATGTAAGGAAAAATTCCAAAAATTTGCAAGCAATTCAGAAAAAAAATTAATGATTTTCTATCAACTAAAGCATGTCCCCAAATTAATTGATTTTTCATGATTTTCTATACTTTGTTTTCCATTACAGCTCACTGAATTTGAAGAAGGCGGACTAGCAATTGGTTTGAGCTGCACACATCTCCTCTCTGATCCCATTTGTGCAACTATGTTTATCAAGGCGTGGGCGGACAAAACCCTAGGCGGCAACATGGTTACTCCTCCACTATTTCACCCACTGCCACCACGAAGACCGGGCAATAGGAACATCAACCACCAGCCCTACACACACCTAATCACCTACTACAAGTCCTATTTTGACAAACCAGCTCCAACCATAAACGTGCCACGATCAACTGTAACGCTGACATTTACTAGCGAAATGGTGCAAGCCTGCATGGCAATGGCTAGAAACCCTAGGGCACCGGATGGCTCAACCCCATCGCCTTTTGAGGCTCTAGCTGCACTATTTTGGATATGCATAGGCAATGTGAAGGGAATGAAAAGTGGCCTAACCAACATGTCTATATGCTTAGACATGAGAAAGGTGTTAGGGTTAGACAAAGGCTTCTTTGGAAACTGCATGGTTTATAACAAGGTCCATGGTGAGGTTTTGGAAGGAAACCAGTTATCAAAAGCCAGTATGGCTATAAGAGAAGTGGTGAGGAAGATGGACTATGATGGGGTCATGGACTTGATCGAGTGGATGGAGCGCGACGATCACCTGTCTCCTCCATTGATGAATGGTTGTGATCTCATTTGTGCTAATCTAGAAGGCGTTGATTCATATTCAGCTATGTTTGAAGATGGTTTCAGTCCAATTCGCGCCTCGTATTATATTGAGCCGGAGATTGGAGAAGGTCAGGTGTTGATTCTTCCATCATCACCACTTGAGGGACCATATAGTAGGGTGGTTATGGTTACACTTTCAAAGGATGAAGTTGTGAAGCTGTGTGAAAATGCTCTGATCCTTCATTTTTCTCCAAATATTTCAATGGGACTCAACAAAAACTGTACTTAGTTTAGGGTTTGCACCTTGATACTGCAAGGCCATGCTTCCAATTAATAACAAAGCCTAAATAAAAATGTAACAAAAAAGAAAAATAAAAGGATAATGGATAGAAGGTTCTAACCTACTTACCCAAAATATATACATGGATAGAAAGTTTTTCAGTTGAATTTCAAAAGACTATACCGTATTTATATTCATACCATATCATTATTATGTTTGCTCCTATTTAAATGATCTAATTATAAATATGATCAAAGAAAAAGCGTTTAATTGGTCCACTCCATTAGGCTTCATAAGCACTTGACCAGCCACCACTTGTAGGCCCGACATTGAGGCCTCCTTGAAGGTGGGCCACTGTTGGCAGTTTTGGGTCTCACTATATCAAATTGGGCAGCCCAGCCCGGCTAATTTATGTCTACTAATTCTGTGAATTACAAAATATTAAATAATCTGTAATCAAGGTAAGACATCATTACGTTTTTTCTTTTTTTTAAAGAAATGGTTACTATTGTAAGTCTAACTGAAAAAATCAATTTTTTTATTTTTTTATTTTTTTGTGTGCATAAACGCATTTTAAAAATTGTAAAAAAACAAGCAAAGTCAACAATATAGGTATAATGTCAGAGATCCCAGTATATAGACACAAACTTTTCTGTCTTCACCTCGCTTGAACTACTTCACCTCCAGAAATAGAATCAACAAGATCTCCTAAAAAATTGGTCATGACGCATAGAGTGACAGAAATTTTGGTCATCGGTTAAATATAAGAATGTATTAATTGGTGCCACGATTACTCATGGGCAAAGAAGAAAACAAGAAAAAAAAAGAATGAGAAAGTTATGGGCACGATAAAGATAGGTCAAATGTGATATCAAACTAACTTTTCATGATCAATACCAACGTTACACAAGCATCATCATCATATATGAAGCATCTCAAACCAAGCAAAGTACATCCCTAGCATAAAAGGTATTTACTCTTTTCGGACAAGAATGGGTTAGTGATTAGTTATTAGAAGAAAGATGGAAGGTGCAAAGTTAGAACACGAACTTTCAAACACAAAAAATAATCTAATCACTCGAACAACATGACACTTACAAAAAATATTTAGTTTGACTAGCCAAAAAAAAAAAAAAAAAAACAACAACAACAACAACACAACAACAACAACAGGGTTAGATCCTTTTCATCAACTTCACCAACTATCAACACTTTTACAACCCACATTGCCATTTATCTACAATTCAGGGTTTTGGGTATTATCATGATTGTCTGTTTGGAGTTGTAACTTTGCCACCTTTTTAAATAAAAGCCAAAAATATTCACTAATGAGGCTTCAAAGTGGACTGAAATTTCTTTCCTCAAAAATCAACTACGAATTCATTTCTATTAGATTCACAATAATGCATATGATCGTAAGTCATGATAAGAAGAAATGACAGCTCTCATAATATTCAAACTCTTTGTTTTCACGTTTGGCAGTCAAAATATTTTATCAATTGAGAAGGAAGCTAGGAAAGTAGGTGATAACTTTTGGACCAAAATGACCTTAGATTATTTTAAAATTAATGAATCGAGCCATAATGGAAATAAGTTATATCCATATTATTTCATATTACAACTAATATTCTTTTTATTTTTCATTTCTTGAGGGTAGAATGGTATATTCGATGTATGTTAACCACGCTTTAATGGGGTATATTTCCTTGGAACATAAAAGACTATGATTTTACCTCATTTTTGTGAGAATTTCATATCAGGCTCCATTTGTTTGTTTTCTAATGTTTAGTTGTCGTAAAATATTTATAAAGAAAAAAATATATTAAAACTTAACAAAAATAACTTATTCATCAATTTTTGACAAGTTATTTTACATATCTCACCCGATGAATTTGATCTCAACCTCAACCTAAACCTTTGTCAAAAACCGAAAAATAAAAAATATATATTTTATATAAAATATATATATATTTTACATCGAAACAAATAGAGCCTAGTCCAATTATTTAAGAAATTTGATTGATAATCTACCCACATGTCAAGTCAATTAGCATATCAATCCATATTTATATAACTAATTAACGTATTTAAAAAGATGAAATAGACAAATCCACTTATGGTATCATGTCATGTTCGAAGACCTCGGAAAAAAGTTAAATAAATGTGTATCTATGATCAATCATTGACAATATATACATTATTAAAAATTGTAAAAAATAGGACATACATTTATAGTTGTAATCTATATGAAAAATAACATTAGCTTAAACTTTTGCAGAAAAAAAGAAAAGAAAAAAATGTTTATGAAAAATAACATAGAAATGATGTCATATTTTATATCCATTTTACTCACAAAGGGTAAGTTATGATGATTCAATTAAATTATTGAAATATGTACTCAAAGTTATATATGTTGATATTTGTTTGTTTCTTCATGATCAATCATTGACCATATTTTATAGTTTATGCATATAGAAAATTTAAATAACTTTTTTTTAGGAGTTAAGTGACTAATATCGTTAGGTCACTGATTCATTGGTAAATAACAAATATATTTTTATATATTTTTATGTTAACTTTTATTATTATTATTATTATTATTATTGTACTTTTAAAACAATTAGTAATATATTTGTATATATATTATAGCATATTTATCATAAAGAATGTACCCTTTCACCTAAATATTGATTTATTTTAGCTAGTGACATTGAACAAAGTTATATGACTATAGTATTTTAAAGATAGTCCACAGTACCTCGAGACCTAAAATATTGATTTCCAATTTTCGAGAGTTTGAGCTACTTGAGAGTAGAGAGCATCCTACAATTCATGAGTCAGGCACATGTTTCCAAAGTTGATTTCTTTTGCTTTTATTTATTTTATATATATAAAAAAGTTTAAACAAACAAGAAGACCATGTATGTGTGTGTGTGGGTGTGTGTGTGTGTGCACAGTCTGGACTCTGGACCATACTAAGAAGCTTAGATGGCCATCTAAGAATCAGCCTTTGCTTGGCAACATTTAAGGTAAATTACTCGTACATTCACAAAAATGTCGACTATGGTACTCGATCACCTCACCTTTAAAGGAAAGAGATTATACCGACTGAAATAATGATCAACGGTTGGCAAAATTTGCTTAGTTTTTTTATTTATTTAAATTTTTTTAAAGTAATTCTCACAAATTCATAAATGTTGATTATGGTACTCAATCCCTCACCTCTCTTTCCAGAAAGAAGAGACTGGACTAATGGTCCAATAATTACTTCGCAAAACTTGCTTAGTTTTTTTTAACTCACTCATCTAAAAACATCAAATTCAATAATATTAACTAATTGCCTAATACAAACACAAGGGAATCAATTGCTTTTTCTAATACATAATCTTTTGTCCTCTCCAGTCTTTTCAAACGTAATTTAGTGTTGGCCATTTATATTGATCATGGTGTTATATTTACATTATATATATATATTTGTTTGGTAAATTAATTTACATTATAAATTGGGCCAAGGCATTGAAAGAAATAAGTTATTGCTTCCACATGGCCTTGTAAAGCTAAGAGACTGAAAACATCCTAGTTTCTTCCTTCACTTGGTAGTCTTAGGGGTATTTCTTTCCGATTGAAGGTTCGAGTCTCCAATAGGACAATAATGCGTGTGTAATTAACCTACCAAAAAAAAAAAATTGAATTTGCTACTATATATATACATAATACTTACAATTTACTTAATCGATCACCACACTTTGTAATGGGGATGGTTGAAATCTCTCAATCTGCTTTGAAGCAACATTCAAATCATGTACTCTGATTTAAATATGTGGATGGGCATTGGGTACTATAAATTAATTTGCACAATCAATTAGTTTCTTTGATATGATTTAAAATAAGTGGGAGTCCAAAGGATTTGGTGTGTTTTTTATACACCTTTTTGAGAAAGAGGTGTATTGACATGAACTGTGTCACACACACTCCACTGATGCAAGCAGACAATATGATCAGTCCAAAAATGGGAATCATTATATAATGAAACAAAACTTAAGATGTCACTCTTATTAACTAATTGCTTATAAAGAAGGATTTGGTTAAAAGGTGGAAGTGTGACATTGTACCGTACCATTATGTAGTCTATGAGAAGTCCGACATTATTTGGGAGAGAAGTTATTGATACTTACATATGTGTGGACACTCTCTAAATATGTATACATATTTTTAAAAGCTGTGAGCATAAAAAGTATGCTACTATTTTGAAAATCGTGAGTACAAAGAGTCTGCAAAACAGACAATATCTATACATTATAAGAATGTCATAACAAGCATATAACACGTGTACGTAGGCTACTTTTATAAGAAACTGCAAATATGGCACATTAAAATTTTTGAAATTTAATTTATAGGATAAATGTCCAGGTTGATCTATGTAATAAATAAAAAGCTCATAGAAAATGATCACTACATTCAAATATTCTTTGGACAAAAAAATGTCTCATTGTGGATGGAATTTGTCATCAAGAAATTACAAGAATCTTGTCCTTGAAAATGATGTGATCCAATTGCTGAACATCTTCAACTAGACTTATTTTAATTTTTATTTTATTTTATGGTTTAGACATTCATGTCACTGTATGTTGAAATAGGATTAAATAGCAAAAATGTTGCCATTAGAGCATTTTTAGTGAACAACATACTTTATTTTGCAAGAGATTCCTTCTAAGTCATTTTTGGCACTAACCCAACACAAAATAGTATTCCCATTTCCAAACTTGGTCCTATCTTCAACTTGCAATGATTTATATCATCCCAACAACAACATCACGTATAACCAATATATATATATATATATATAAAGAAAACAGTTGGACAATCTACACTAATTTTCTATATTTAATAGGACTATTTATTTCAACAATTCATGTTACAAACAAATATAGCACATAATTATAGTGTGGAGCAAGAAGTAAAATAATACTTACTTTTCCTACAATGCGAATCTGTCAAATAAAAGAACAACCTAAATGTCAGCATTTCATGCATTTTAATAAGGTCATGATTCTAGAGAACCATATATTTTATATCATATTTTGATCATACATATGAGGTCAGAGTTATAGTGGATTTGTATCATATTACAATGCTGAATATAAAATTCAAGTTTTTTAATGGTTTCATCAGTTCTTTGAGCATCAAATGAGGTGAATCACAGTCCGAGACAGCTCTTGTGGTCTAACATACACAACTTAGATGCATGTACCCTAATTGAATAGTGTTTTTGCATCGAAAATAAAGTTGACTATGGACCGACAGATCTTCCCCGGATCCATGGGGATTTCGTACACATGGGACATATGATCGTAGCCTGTTCTGATCCCTAATTAGGTCGGGTTAGGGTTGGACTTAATTCGCCTAATTTTATCGAAACGATAACCAGATGTTAGCTGAAAATCTATACGACATAACTAAAACGTTTAATTTGACCATTTGATTGGCCGTTTAGTATATACTTTTTTTGGATAGGTAAGTATACTCACACACAGGTTCTAACTGGGGGCTAATCTTCATGTCAATGACAATCATCCATGCATGTTATGCTAATCTCTTATACACTCGATCTGTCATCCTTAGACATCAAACATGGCATATAAAAATTTAAAATAAGCATCTTATATGTTGTAACCAAGTGTGGTCTTGAAAACTGTGAGAAAGACTACTCATTTATGGGTATGCTTTTATTTAAAGAAACATTATTTAAATAGAAGGCCAGACTAAATGTGCATAAATTCAAAGATGTGCATGAATGACACTTTTGAATTAATCTCACAGTGATGACTGATAATCATTATGTTCCGAGAAAAAAGGGTAACTACTTTTGTAAAGATATAATGTTATTTAACTTATTTTCACGCTTAAAAATCATCTGTCGAGGTGGCCAGCCTCCTTGAATTCTACGTAAGGCAAAACAATTCCGTAATGTTATTAGAGAGACTTGAATTCTCTACCTTTTATTTTCACATGAGATGAAATATATCCAGATTAAATGCCTTGGATCAAGTACTGGTGTATTTAGAAGAAATTTCACAAGAAAAGGATCTGATGCTTGGTTCTTACGGCAATCTAGTCACTCATCTCCTCATCTTTTCATCATTCTTTAGCAAAATCATAACCCTGTATATTAAAACAAAAAATAAGTCATTAACTGCTGTTTAAACTTTCCAAAAAAAGGTTGTCAACTGCTTTTGGTGATGCAATTGCATGCGTCAGTTGATTTTTGTTAACGTGGGGTCAATACGTGCGAGTAACACCTGTACAAACTATATGCTTAATACAAAATAAAAATAAAAATTTTACACGTTTTTTCCTCGCAAATAATTCCAACAATATGTTTGGAATACCTAAACCTTTCATCTTATTTGAAAGGAGATGAGATATCACTAGACAACAGGTCAAGTGATTAAAAAAAACACAAGTACTCAAATGGTTAAAATAAAATAAAAAATTATACAAGGTACCAAGAATTATCAATTGCCAAAAAAAAATTACTATGTGGAAATGCTGGGAAAGTGAAATGTACTGAGGGCTGAAGCAAGCAGAGATATCTTTGGCACTATGATACTAGGATTTCTGGAGCAACTATCAAAGCACTAAAAACAACTTTTTTACTTCTCTGTGTAAACGGTAATATTGTATTGAGTAAAAAAACAGAAGAAGAAGAAGAAGAAGTTAATATTTGAAAATTTTCACACTTCTTTCCCAAGAATGGACAGGAAAATGCCGGGAAAGTAAAATGTGTTGGGGCTGCGGTAAGCACAGACATCTTTAGCAATTTTTTATTGGGATTTCTTGTCTAACAAACAACTTCTAGTCAAATTATCAAAGCATTAAAAACAACTTTTCTTTATTAAATTTGGAGTAACCAAAAGTCCACAAGGACTTGGCACCTATATGACAGATATATTTGTTTATTCCTAGAAGCTCAACACCTCTTGCCTGTCAAAGAGACCACCTGAGCTTGTTTTTGCTAAAAGGGTCAGATGAGATCTGGAGCATCAAACACAATAATCAAATATATCACTCAGAGCCATATATAAGTTGTATATTGTTTTGAATGAGAGTAATGATACGCTAGCAAAACCAAACAACCGATTTAGAAGGCCGATGCATTCCCAACCTTCTGATGCATTCTTATGGAACTCACACGGGTCCTACTTTAATGCATCCTAAGGCTGAAAAAGTATCGAGTTTTGGTTGTCTGGTTATGAGAGAATCATTTTCCTTTGAATTAAAGGAATCTATCATAGTCAGGCCATTATGGGATATGAATGGTTTGGAGGGAATATCTTTTTGAAATCCTTGGTTGTAATGGACAATCTCTAGCATACATATTTATGCATGCTCACAGCAGACAAATCTGACTTGGGACCTTTGACAATAAAACATTTAATTTAATTCTTTTTCTTTCTGACTTTTTCTTTAAAAAAAACTAAACTAATTCCTTTGTTGAGGACTAGGATTCTGCTGCACTAAAGGACGAAATATTGGTTTCATGCTATGCTCAAGAAGAAGATGAAGAGAAAGAGCAATACACACTCATCAAAAGAGGAAGGAAAAAAGAAGGAAAAAAAAGAAATGATAATACACATTAATAACTTGCAAATATGCTCAATGAGACAAGACTAGCACTGGACAATTGTACACATGCACATTATTTTATCATGTTCAACCTTAGTATGAAATTTTTTGCATTGAAACAAACTAGATCAAGCTTTTTCTCCGAATGCAATTTATAAGATTGACGCCAAGAGCTGTACTCTAATGATACTTCCTCATATTTCAAAGTGAAAGGTCAAGGGTTGAAATCCGGTAAGAACAATATGAACATGTGAATTTCAACCAAGGAGAAATAAAAAATAAAAAAATAAAAAAATAAAAAATAAAAAAAAATGAAGACAGAAAGAAGATTGAAGTTGTTTCTAGCAAAAGAAAGATGTTTTAAGTTTCTAGACAGATAGAAAAGAAAGTCATCTACCACTGAATCACAAATGTTGCACAAGCTTCTACTCTCATTTAATTTTATGTTGAAATCTTACACTTCAATTAGGATTATGATATTGGACAGAGCAAATCCCAAGTAATCAGTAGTAAAGTATGACTTGCATGTGTATATAATGGCAAACACCTCTAGATATTTGATTATTTGGGAATAGTACATCATTAAATAACCCTCACTCCTGGATTTAGGGACAAATATTAAAGAAACTGTCATTTCATTTCTCTGTTCTGTTATTCTCTCTCTGTCAATTTGTGGAATCTTTCATTTCTTTTTTAATTTATTGATTATTTAAATTATTATATGAAAGTTGGCAGTTAAACAGCCAATCATAGCCCTTTTTTGGAGCCTTTGGACAGTTCAGAATTAAGGACAAAAGGGAGTTGATGCTAATCGTATTGTATAGTGTTTTTAAACATTATTTGATATGATGAAACCAAATTGAAGTTGTGTTTGGTAGGTGATAGTTGCTGTTGTACCTGTTCTGGTTCTGCTAAAAATGGTAATTTTCACAATAATTGCTTGAAAAAGTTGAACACGTTCCAAATTATTTGTGAAAAATGTGCACCCTTGCGAAGATGGTCATTTTGATTTGAAATAAGAGGAGAAAACTAACAAATGTACGTTTATACGTTGATTTTCATTAGATGTGAGCTGATCTACGTGTTCAATATCGAGAATTTAACATATTTATGTAGTTATTGCATTGTCAATTCAAAGTTGTTGCATTCACGATGTAAAGTTGATGCATTAGGCACAGGACAAAAATGTCACAGAGAGGATAGGATCACGGTTCTAGTTGAACTTTATAGATTGATTCTTTTTTTTTTTGGAAGGTTCTATAGAGGGTTTCAAATGCACTTATGGTGGAGGAATGAGTGAATTTAAATTGTTATACCTAGACATAAATAGTTGGCATCATAAGTGCAAGTTTATGGAGTCCCCATAGCCAGAGTCAATTATTTTAGTCTTTTTTTTTATGTTTCCATGAAGTGCAATTACATCAACCCTTACATCAACCAACAATAAAGCATTTTAAAGTTGACCCTTTGTACTTTACATGTTATGTATATATAACCCTCTCTCCTATCAAAATTCCTCAAAAGTACCAAGTCCCTTCAAAAACCAACTACAGATGAAACAGAGAAAGAGACATACATTATTGTTTCTCTCTGCTTCTAAAATAAACACTTAGAAGAGAGAGAGAGAGAGAGAGAGAGAGAGAGAGAGAGTAGAAATTCAAGAATTTAAGTTTCTTTGCAGCAGGAAACTTGGAGGGAATTTACTGTGCTTTGGTTGATTAACCTCTGCAGCTCTGTGCAATAACAATGGACAGTGGTAGAATCAGTAGTGCACGTTTAAGTAGTTCTAATATATGGAGGAACAATGCCATGGAAATATTTTCGAGGTCTTCTCGGGAAGAAGATGATGAAGAAGCTCTGAAATGGGCTGCTATTGAGAAACTACCAACGTATCTACGTATACAGAGAGGTATACTGACTGAAGAAGAAGGCCAACCAAGAGAAATTGATATAAAGAGTCTTGGACTACTTGATAAAAAGAATCTGTTAGAGAGGCTTGTGAAAATTGCAGAGGAAGATAATGAGAGGTTCTTGTTGAAGCTCAAGGAACGCATTGAACGGTAATCTCACAAAAAACACACACTCTTGCATCATTAGACTCTGCACTGATCTACATGTTCAATATCTTTTCCCCCTGAAGCATCCTTTAATGATTTATTTATGTTGGTTTTTCGTGTTTTTGAAAATGCAGAGTTGGAATTAATCTTCCAACTATTGAAGTGCGGTTTGAGCATTTAAATGTTGACGTGGAAGCTTATGTTGGCGGTAGAGCATTGCCTACTTTATTCAACTTCACGATTGGTATGCTAGAGGTAATTCATCTTTTAACTAAATACAAACATTTATTTACATGATTTATGCTAGCGATTTTCATTTAAAATTTAGACTCACCCTTCAATTTATCTCTTTAAAGGGGTTCGTGAATTATCTCCATATTCTTCCTAGTAGAAAGAAACCATTACCAATCCTTCATGATGTCAGTGGAATCATCAAGCCTGGCAGGTGGAGATCACAAGATACTACAATTGTGCATTTTGAACTCTCCTAGCTTCTTATTTCTCATTTTAATTAATAATTTTCCGCAGAATGGCATTGCTTTTAGGCCCACCAAGCTCAGGAAAAACCACACTGCTGTTAGCTCTGGCTGGAAAACTTGGTTCAGATCTAAAAGTAAGAAATATTGTAGCCCTTTTACTAATCCCAGATTTACTTCATCTGCAAATCTTTTATATGTGTGTGTGTGTATAATTTCAATAAGGCCCTTATGATCTTATATTGTTACATGCAAACTTATGAAACTATAGGTTTTGGGGAGAGTGACATACAACGGCCATGAAATGGATGAGTTTGTTCCACAGAGGACATCAGCTTATATAAGTCAATATGATCTTCATATAGGAGAAATGACTGTGAGAGAAACATTGGCTTTTTCAGCAAGATGTCAAGGGGTTGGTCCCCATTATGGTCAGTTAAATTGACATGAATTTTATTTTTTTTAAGAGTTAGTTCCAAGAATTCTATCGGGTTTGACATGGTTTGAATTTGCAAAATCTGCAGAAATGTTGGCAGAATTGTCAAGGAGGGAGAAGGAAGCAAACATAAAGCCAGATCCTGATCTTGATATATACATGAAGGTAAGGAAGTAGCTCAAGAACAACATATATATATATATATATTATTTGAATACAATTATGTGAGACTATAATTGTTTTAAGATAGATTTCTTGTTTTCACAATCTAATTGTGATCTTTATACTTCTATACATAAAGGCAGCATCACTAGAAGGCCAGGAGGCAAGTGTTGTCACAGATTATGTTCTTAAGGTGCTAACTTGAACTTCATCTAAGCTAATGTGAAGATTTTGTGAAACAATTGGAGAATCTGATCTATATCCTTTCTGATTTTCAAAATGCATAGATTTTAGGTCTGGAAGTTTGCGCTGATACAATCGTGGGTGATGAAATGCTACGAGGAATTTCTGGCGGACAAAAAAAGCGAGTCACAACAGGTAAAAGCATGAAACAGCTCAGAGTACTCCAACAACTAAATTTAGCCCTTTTGAAGATAGTTATTTGTGCCATTCTTGAATTTTGAGTTATTCAAGATGCACATAATAGTTCCAGAATCCTGAAAAATGTTACTATATACTTGAGTTATTCTTTTGAATTTTCTGATCGAATATGATACAGGGGAGATGCTGGTTGGACCAGCCAGAGCACTTTTTATGGATGAGATATCAACTGGTTTGGATAGTTCTACAACTTTTCAAATTGTGAATTCAATCAGGCAATCCATTCACATCCTTCAAGGAACTGCTCTTATCTCTCTTCTCCAGCCAGCTCCAGAAACTTATGACCTATTTGACGACATAATTCTCCTCTCAGATGGGCAAATTGTATATCAAGGTCCCCGTGAAAATGTGCTAGAGTTCTTTGAATACATGGGCTTCAAATGTCCTGAGAGGAAAGGAGTCGCTGACTTTTTACAAGAAGTAATTCTAGCTTTAGAAATTAATTTTTTCCTCGACTTCTGCTATGCAGTAAAATATACTAGACTTGATTTTAAATTTCTTTTGGTGGGCATCTATATAGGTTACATCAAGGAAAGATCAAGAGCAGTATTGGGCACACAAAGATGATCCTTATAATTTTGTTACTGTCAAGGAATTTGCGGAAGCATTTCAATCATTTCATATTGGCCGGAAACTAGGCGATGAGCTTGCTGTTCCATTTGACAAAGCCAAGAGCCACCCTGCTTCTTTAACCACTGAGAAGTACGGTGTTAACAAGAAGGAATTGTTGAAAGCATGCATATCGAGAGAATACTTGCTTATGAAGAGGAACTCATTTGTCTACATATTCAAGATGACTCAAGTGAGTAGCAAGCAAAGCATTAATAATTTTCTATTTTAAATAAGGAAAATTTGAAATTATGAGTTGCCTAAACATCTTCAAATTGGCCAAACGAATTCAAACTAATCGGTGTACTCTTCATTCTCTCCACCTCAGCTTATTATGATGGCAATAATCACGATGACATTATTTTTGAGAACTGAGATGCCTAAGAAGACAACAGAAGATGGTGGAATTTACATGGGTGCTATATTCTTTGCTGTTATTATGATTATGTTTAATGGGTTCTCAGAGCTTGCATTGAGCATTATGAAACTTCCAGTCTTTTACAAGCAAAGAGACCTCCTCCTTTTTCCTGCTTGGGCATACTCTCTACCTACATGGATTCTCAAGATTCCAATCACATTTGTTGAAGTTGCTATTTGGGTTTTTATGACTTATTATGTCATGGGATTTGATCCAGATGTTGGAAGGTAATATAGCATCAAGCCTTTTAAATTGGTTTAGAATTTTTGGTTACCTAATCTGATGAATGTTCTTAATTGTAGGTTTTTCAAACAGTACCTTGTACTCCTATGCATTAATCAGATGGCTTCAGGACTTTTTCGATTCATTGGGGCGTTAGGAAGGAACATCATTGTTGCAAACACATGTGGCTCATTCGCGTTACTTGCAGTTCTTGTAATGGGTGGATTTATCTTGTCACGAGGTAAAGAAGTGTGAAACTAATAGAACCTATATATTTCTTTCTTGGTCATTATGCTGCTTAAAGTTAATTGTGAGTTGTGTGAACTGTTTTAACCCTCTCAGATGATGTAAAGAAATGGTGGATATGGGGATATTGGTTTTCACCTATGATGTATGGGCAGAATGCTATAGTTGTTAACGAATTCCTTGGGAAGAGTTGGAGTCATGTAAGCATCAGTTTCTTGAATTTGAACAAAAGAAAAGCAAAATGAATAACTTGGGAAAAAAGATTTTGAGGAACATAATCTAAACTTTGTGGAAAATTCTGTTTTGTAGGTTCCTCCTAATTCCACAGAATCATTAGGAGTAAAAGTCATGAAATCTCGTGGGGTTTTTCCAGAAGCGAACTGGTATTGGATTGGTGTAGGAGCTTTGACTGGATATGTTTTCCTTTTCAATTTCCTCTTCACTGTGGCTCTAACTTATCTTGACCGTAAGTAACCAACTAATTTGTCTTATGATTTTGGGACTTTGCTGTAAAACTCATCAAGTCTGATTGAAGTTACTTGGTGTTCAACTTGTCCTAATAATTGGGTGAATTTGCTGCAGCATTTGGGAAGCCTCAGGCAATTCTCTCTGAAGAAACCTTGGCAGAGAGAAGTGCTATCAAAACAGGAGAGTTGACTGAGCTATCATCAAGAGGAAAGAAGAGTTCTTCTGGTGGGTTATTAAGCTCCCAAGTTTGTGTTTCGGTTTCTAATTTATAGGGTTCTAGATTTACTATATTCAATTCGAATCATATCTGCAGAAAGGGGAAATGAAGTTCAAAAAAGTGCATCGTCAAGGTCAATGTCGTCGAGAGTGGGTAGCATTAGTGAAGCTTCGCAGAACAGGAAAAGGGGAATGGTTCTACCATTTGAACCCTTTTCCATCAGTTTTGATGATATTAGATATGCTGTAGATATGCCACAGGTATGTTTGAGCTCAGGTTCTGAACTTGCCAGTTTTGAATAATACTGTTCCAAATTTCAAAGAAATTTTGAATTATGTATGATAAAGAGCTGTCTTTATACTACTTGAGTTGCTTTCCTTGTTTTCACTCTCAAAATCCAAAGCTCTGTTTCTACTACTAAATTAACTATGTTCATAAAACCTAATATTCATTCAGATATTGGACAATAATTAAGAAATTTGACTGTGCTTTCAGGAAATGAAATCTCAAGGTATTAGTGAAGACCGGCTAGAACTTTTGAAAGGGGTGAGTGGTGCTTTCAGGCCAGGAGTTCTTACGGCTCTAATGGGTGTAAGTGGGGCTGGTAAAACCACTCTAATGGATGTCTTGGCCGGTAGGAAAACGGGTGGGTATATAGAGGGAAGGATCAGAATATCTGGGTACCCAAAAAAGCAAGAAACATTTGCCCGCATAGCAGGATATTGTGAGCAAACTGATATCCACTCTCCTCATGTCACAGTGCAAGAGTCCTTGCAATATTCTGCATGGCTACGGTTGCCCCCTGAAGTCAATTCTGAAACCAGAAAGGTGACTCCCAATCATAGAATTCCTAAATGATGTGTTTAGTCCAGGCAAATTAAATCATTGGCTGAAAATCTAACAAATTGATTGCAGATGTTCATCGAGGAGGTTATGGAGCTCGTGGAGCTGACTCCATTGAGGGAAGCACTTGTTGGATTGCCTGGAGTCAATGGTCTCTCAACTGAACAACGCAAGAGACTGACTATTGCAGTTGAGCTTGTGGCTAACCCATCTATAATATTTATGGATGAACCAACCTCAGGACTTGATGCCAGGGCGGCAGCAATTGTGATGAGAACAGTGAGAAACACAGTGGATACAGGAAGAACAGTGGTTTGCACCATCCACCAGCCAAGCATAGACATATTTGATGCTTTTGATGAGGTAGGTTGATATTTTTTCAAGATTAAGGAACTGGTAATATTTTTTTTTTTTGATTTCTAATGTTCAAAGAGAACTAATGTAGAACTATTTTGAACTGTAGTTGTTCCTTTTAAAACGAGGAGGTGAAGAAATATACGTTGGTCCCTTAGGCCGCCATTCCTCCCATTTGATCAAGTACTTTGAGGTAAGGCTATAATACATGAGATCACTTAAATTTCCTATATTTGCAGTTCTAACATATACAGCTCATGCTTCTTCAAGGGAATCGATGGAGTTAGTAAAATCAAAGATGGTTATAATCCAGCAACGTGGATGTTGGAAGTGACTTCTGCATCACAAGAAGCAGCCCTTGGGGTTAACTTTGCCGATTTGTACAAGAACTCAGAATTGTACAAGTAAGGGCGCACGTAACACTCTAGTTCAAATTTGTCAAAATACATTGAAATGAAAATGTCAAAATGTAAAATGAAAGTCACTGTTGAGGATCTAGCTATTAATATTCTATGGTGAATGATTCAGGAGAAATAAAGCATTGATCAAGGAACTTGATACACCTCCTCCAGGCTCCAAAGATCTATACTTTCCTACTAAATACTCGCAAACTCTAATAACTCAATGTATGGCCTGCCTATGGAAACAACATTGGTCATACTGGAGGAACCCGCCATACACTGCAGTGAGGCTCTTATTCACAACTTTCATAGCTGTAATGTTTGGGACAATATTCTGGGATATAGGCTCCGTAAGGTAAATATATGGAGAAAAGAAAATTTGAATTGTTTCCTGTGTTCAAAATTTTCTTTTGTATTCTTTTTCCATTATTAGTTCCCAATTTAATTTCAAGTTTATGGAATCCAGGAGAAGGCAACAAGATCTCTTTAATGCAATGGGTTCTATGTATGCTGCTGTTCTATTTATTGGTGTACAGAATGCTACATCGGTGCAGCCAGTAGTCGCTATTGAGAGAACAGTTTTTTACAGGGAAAGAGCAGCGGGAATGTATTCAGCTTTGCCATATGCCTTTGGACAGGTGAACTACTTATACTTTTATGTGAAAGTCATGAGGACAGAAATACATCTAGATATCTCTATGGATTCTCTATAATTAAGATGAGGAATTCGGGAATTACTGGTGATCTGAATTTACTGAAGAAAATATAATTAATAAGAAGTAGACAAGGCAATGGCAATGCACATCGATCACTTTGTGCTTACTCAAAGAGTAAAAGCATAAATGGAGATTTTTTTTTCAAGATTTTGAGAGATCATATGAATTTTGCCTCACCAAATCCTTTGTTATGCAGGTTGCAATTGAGCTCCCATACATTTTTGTTCAGACTGTTATCTATGGAGTCATAGTTTATGCCATGATCGGATTTGACTGGACAGTTACCAAGTTCTTTTGGTATCTGTTTTTCATGTACTTCACCTTCTTATACTTTACTTTCTATGGGATGATGACGGTGGCAGTTACTCCAAACCACAACATTGCTGCCATAGTTTCATCTGCTTTCTATGCAATATGGAACCTTTTCTCAGGATTTATAATTCCACGGACAGTAAGTTTTAATGATATTACTAATTCATTCCTGAGATGAGATCACAACTCACGAGGACTAAACGTTTTCCTTTTTTATTTTATGACAGAGGATTCCAGTTTGGTGGAGGTGGTATTATTGGATTTGTCCAGTCTCTTGGACTTTGTATGGATTAGTTGCTTCACAGTTTGGAGACATACAGGACAAGCTTGACACAGGAGAAACCGTAGAGCATTTTATAAGGAGTTATTTTGGGTACAGGCATGACTTCGTTGGATATGTTGGGATCATTATTGTTGGTATAGCTGTGCTATTTGGGTTCATCTATGCCTTTTCAATTAAGGCATTTAACTTCCAAAAAAGATAGTAGTGTTTCAACACAGGGATTTTCATTACATCAAGCTCTGATCTGATATGGGTGAATTTCCAAGCTACAAGATAGACGCATAGTACATTATAGAAGGTCCTATTGTCCCTTTTTTTTTTTTTTTTTTTTTTGGCCACTCACCCCACCCCACCCCTTTTCTCTTTTAGGTTTTGTGCTCTCTATAGCTAGTCAAATTTGTTCCATAAAACCACAAAACTTCTGAGTCCATGTATTCTACCCCATTTGTATGTAATCAAGTTTATACGAAGAAAATGAAAAAAAAAAAAAAAAAAAAAAAAAAAAAAGAAAAGAAAACAAATTTCTAGCAGTTACTATAACAGCCTCTCTTTTTTTTTTCTGAAAGGTAAAAAATTTGGACCATTTCTCAATTTGTGCGTGTCATCTTTGTGCAGGGGCCATGCTAATATTCTCTGTAGAGTTCCAATTTCGGACCATTTCTCGATTTCAAGCTACTGCTACTATAACAGCCTTGTCAAACTAGTTATGATGCATAAATTTTTTGAACATTCTGTTGAGTGGTTTCTTTGATTGCCTTCCTGACAGTAAGGATTAATTTGTTCAACTGATAAAAACAAAGCAATATTGTTAAAAGAGTACAGTAGCTAGAAATAAATCAAGGTTAGCACAAAATTTTTAGCATTGATATTATGTGTACATCAATTAGTAGTTTCACGAAATAGGTTAAGAATTATCAATAAGAAAAGTAAAATTTAAGAACACAGATAGAATTAAAGAACACAAAGCATCACAATTTGCAAGAACCAAAGCACAAACAATGCCATCAACAAACTGAAGCAGAATCAAAATAAAGTAAGTCTAAGAGACAAAATGTCAAACAAACAGCACGCGCAATTTATCTGTAGAGGGGGAATCCCATGAGAGTCAAATTCGAGTAATAATATCTCAAGAAACTACTAGATTCGGTGTGTGATTGGTATACGAGAAAAAAGAAAAATAAAGTTTTGCTCAAAACTTGAAGTATCACAATTGAATGGATATAAAATATATATATATATATATATATATATATACATACATAAAAGATTACCTTTTTGAGCAACGAAGAACTTTGATCAGAAGACAACACTGCCCAAGCAAGTTGGAGAAGAAAACCAAATCACCTACAGATACTGTGCTTTAACTACTATAGCTAAATCCATCTGGGTCATCTTTAGCTAACTGAGGACCGTTTTGAACTTTTGATGTCATTTGAATTCTTTTGTCACTTTCTTTCTTGACACGTACTCAACCCGTCTACAAGTCTTTACTGTTGCTTGATATGCTATCATTTTTAAGTTTAGCCGATAAAAATAGGCTAAATTATACAGACCTCCTTTATAAAATGCCATAATTTTAGGAACTTTCTTTTTTGTTTGAAAAATTATTCAAAATTAAACTAAACCTTTCCACCAAAAAAAAATTTGCAGACTAATACAATTGAAAAAGAGAGTTAAATAAATGAAATGCTAACCATAATTAAAAAAAGCAAGTGACATCCAGCCCAATGGTTAATTTTAGGCAAATCTTGGTCAACTGGGATCTCTTGCCAGATTGTTGTCCTCCCAAGACTTCCGGACTCTAATCTCACATACTCAGAGACCTTGGAAGGGTGTCGTAATTGAAACTGCAATAGAGATCTCTCCTATAGATAAAATTTCTTTTTAAAGGTAAATTATTTGTTTCATCCAAAGTTTTGAAAGAAATATTTCGGACCTCCTTGTCACAATGGTATTGTTAGTTGTGCAAAAGTCATTGTGAATTTACCCTCACACTAAAGAACACATTGCTGGCATTTTGATGATGCAAATGACTTTATTTAGAAGGAAAAAAATTGCCCCGCATATGGAAAGGATATAAATGTTATATAGTTTACTGCAATACACACACACACTACATATAAGAAAGTACAAAATCTCCCCAAAATTTCACCAAATGAACACAATACTTCATGCTTTTTAAAAGTGAACAAATTGTCCTCTTACATTTCACCTCCGACCACTTTCCATCTAATGTCATTGTGCATTTACCAAACCATTCCCTATAATTAACTTTTTTTAAAAAATATAAAAAATATATAAAAGGCAAAATATCTTAAATGCCTCCTAAAATAAAGTGATACATTATATGACTCTAAATTGATTAAGTATGTAACTTCTTATTTGGACCTCTCAATAGATTACGAGAACCCGAACTTTTCTACTCGTTTTTTCACAATACGTGTTTCACTTTTTTTTCATCTGTAATTTTATTATTATTATTATTGTAACCCTTTCTCATCTCTATTCATGGCGGGGTTCAGCAGAGAGCAAAAAGAGTGAGCTATATTCGGGTTCTTGTATGTGGACAATGTAACAATGCATATACATACATGTGCATTAATAATGTTTAGGCAAGTTTATCATGAGGGCCATTTTTGATAAATATTTAATGCTTACTGATGCACTTTTAAAATGAGAGTGCCTTGATGATAACCAAACTAATTAGCACGTAATGGAAGAGACAATTGAAAGTAGAGAAATGAGTGAAAGAATACACATAAACATAATAATATTAGAAAAAGGCACGTGCGACGCACGTTATGAATGTTTTATAATTTATATAATTTTTGTTTTCATTTTTTAAAATTATTGATTTGAAACTTGTAACAATAAACCTTACAAAAAATTGCAATTTTTTGTAACTCTTTTTATATTAATTAATAAATAATTTTTTATATTAATAAATAAATACTGAAATATTTTGAAATTGATAAAATAGATAATTTGTAATAAAGTTTTATAGAAATTATTTTATTTTTTGTAAAAATATTCATAATAAATAGATAAATACAGGTTATATGTGATAGAGTTTTATAGAAATTATTTTATTTATATATCAATTAATAAAAAAATTTATATTAATAATTCTTGTCTAATTAGATTTTCTTTTATTAAAAAAATCTTAATAATAAATAGATAAATAGGTTAATTTGAATTTATTAGGTACATTTTAGAGATTTATAGAGTTTTTTTAAATAAATAAAAAATATATATATATCTTTTCATATCAATGAATAAGTATTTTTTTATATAAATAAATAAATACTGAAATACTGAAAATCTTTGCACATTTAATAATAGCATAGATAAAAACTATTTTTATATCAATTAATAAATATTTTTTTATATAAATATATAAATACTTTGGTAGAGCTTTTTTATTTTATTCTGAAATTCTAGACTTTTGAGTTTCTCTATAATTCTGAATTTCTAGAATTCTCAATTTCTATAAAACTTACACAAATTATTAGGTAGATTTTAGAGTTTTATAAAGTTTAAAAAAAAAAAAAAAAAAAAAAAAAAAAAAAAAAAAAAAAAAAAAACTCCTTTCATATCAATTAATAAAAAATAACTATTCTTTTTATATCAATTAATAATTATTTTATTAGATAGATTTTAGAGTTTTTTTTTTTTATAAAAAAAAAATACTAAAACTCTTTCGCAAAGCTTCTACATTTTATTTTAAAATTCTAAATTTCTAGAATTGCCAATTCCTGTACCCCTTCCTCCTTTCTCCATGTCTCTATTTATAGGCTGCTTGGATTAATAGGATGATGACACGTGTCCTCTCCTGATAATGACATAATCATAACTGGGCGGACTGGTTATAATATGATAATTATCCATAAAAAATAACTATTCTTTTTATATCAATTAATAAATATTTTATTGTGATTGATTTTATTAGGTAATTTTTAGACTTTTATAGAAACTATTTTTATAAATATATTTTAATATCAATTAATAAATATTTTATTGCGATTGATTTTATTAGGTAATTTTTTGAGTTTTATAGAAACTATTTTTATAAATATAAAAAATTATTTTATTTTCTTTAAATATATCATTGTCTAATTAAATTTCCTTTTATTAAAAACTCATAATAAATAGATCAATACAAGTTATATGTGATAGAGTTTTAAAGAAAATAAAATAGATAATTTGTGCTATAGTTTTATATAAATTATTTTATTTTCTTTAACAATATTCATAATAAATAGATAAATACATGTGGTATGTGATAGAGTTTTATAGAAAATAAAATAGCTAATTTGTTGTAGAGTTTTATATAAATTATTTTATTTTGTATAAATATATTCTTGTCTAGATTTTATTTTATTAAAAAACTCATAATTAATAAATAATGTGATAGATTTTTATAAAAAAAATAAAACAGCTAATTTGCGATAGATTTTATAGAAATTTTTTATTTTTTTAAAATATATTCTGGTTTAATTATATTTTCCTTTATTAAAAAAAACTCATAATAAATATATAAATAGGTAATATGTGTTAGAATTTTATAAAAAATCTTTTAAAAACTTTTTTTATATGAATTAATAACTAATTTTATATATTTATAATTATTGCCTAATTAGATTACCTCTTATTAAAAAAACTCATAATAAAAGATAATTTGTGGTAGAATTTTAGAAAAATTATTTTATTTTTTATATCAATTAAAAAATATTTTTTATACTAATAGTTCTTGACTAATTAGATTTTCTTGTATTAAAAAAAACTCATAATAAATAAATAGATAATTTGTGTTAGAGTTTAATAGAAACTCTTTTTATATCAATTAATAAATATTTTTTATATTAATAATTGTTGTCTAATTAGATTTTCTTTTATTAAAAAACTCAAATAAATAGATAAATATGTAATTTGTATTAGAATTTTATAGAAACTTTTTTAAAACCTCTTTTTATATCAATTAATAAATAATTTTTTATATTAATAATACTTGTCTAATTAGATTTCCTTTTATTAAAAAACTTATAATAAATAGATAAATAGGTAATTTGTGTTAGTGTTATATAGAAACACTTTAATTATATCTTTGCCTACTATGATAGTGTTTTATTAAAAATAAAATATGTAATTTGTGATAGAGATTCAGACAAATTATTTTATTTTCTTTAAATATATCCTTATCTAATTAGATTTCATTTTATTAAGAAACTCATAATAAAATATTTTTTATATTAATAATTCTTGTCTAATTAGATTTTCTTTTATTAAAAAATTCATAATAATAAATAGATAAATAGGTTTATTTAAATTTTATTAGGTAGATTTTGGAGTTTTATAGAGTTTTTATTTTTTATTTTTTTAAAACTCTTTCCATATCAATTAATAAAAAATTAATATTATTTTTATATCAATTAATAATTATTTTATTAGGTAGATTTTAGAGTTTTATAGAGTTTTTTTTTTAATTTTTATAAAAACTCTTTTCATATCAATTAATAAATATTTTTTATATAAATAAATAAATCCTAATAGACCTAAAAATATAGATAAAAACTCTTTTTATATCAATTAATAAATATATTTTTTAAATAAATAAATAAATACTGAAATACTAAAACTCTTTCGAGCTTCTCTATTTTACTCTAAAATTTTGGATTTATAGAATTCTCAATTTCTGTACCCCTTTCTCCTTCCTCCATGTTTCTACTTATAGAAGCTTCTTGAATTAATAGGATGATGACATGTGTCCTCCCATGATAATGACATAATCATAACTGGGCCGGGCCGGTTATATTGTGATAATTATCTATAAATTTTTTTTTTTTTAGAGTTTTATAGAAACTATTTTTATAAAAACTATTTTTATATCAATTAATAAATATATTTTTATATAAATAAATACTAAAATACTAAAACACTGAAACACTTTGCATATTTAATAATATTATAGATATAGATTTAGATATATATATATAGGATAAAGTACAGAAACACCTCTGAGGTTTGAGATAAGGACAAACAAATGAAAGTTTGTTTATTTTTGGACAACCATACCCCCTTGTGAAATTTGCCATCTAAACATAAGGTAATTTGGTCATTTAAGTATTTTGATAAATTAGAGAGAGGAAAAAGGAGAGAGGGGGTGGTGAACCGTACTTTACCCACTAAAACTAAGTCTAGAAATTATATAGCTCCCGATTGGCACCCATTAGTTCCTTCAATTTTGAACTCACGTCACTTTGCGCCCAAAATTCTGGTATTCCCTTGGAAGCCAAGGTCAGTTCTCTCTTTTGGAAGAATCAATGTGAGTGACCTAACCTCTCCCTGCAAATCCAAACAGAGAAGATAAAGTCCATTGGGTTGTTTCTCCTTCCAAAACCTTCTCCCCGTCTCACACATTGACGCACCTGAGATCACCTTAGCTATCCTCCTATACCCTTTGGTGGCGGTTAGTGTAGTTTCCTAGGCCAGTCTAGATGAACCTTCATCTACAATTCATAGGAAGTTTATCAATAAAAGATAGAATTCTTCATATTTCTTCCCCAACCTGCTTTATTTGCAACTCACAAAATGAGTTCCATGACCACAATTTGTATCACAATACCTATTCTTACAACATTTGGATGTGGATTCCATATAGCTCCCGATTCTATGGATGAGCTCATTTCTTGGGTAGCTATATACCTGAAGGGCAAGTGTATCAAATCAGTTATCAATCAGTTATGCCTAGGAGCCTATGCCTGTTGTGTGGAGGGAAAGAAATTCACATTTCAAGAATCTTTTAGCACCTCTACTCGTGTTCCCCAACATATATGGGGCTTTATTAGAAGAAAACTCAGCTCAGATCATACATGGAGTTCTAGAGTGAGAAGCTCTCATTCTAGAGAGCGAAAACTTACACCAAGGAATTCCCATCACTACTCATCCATGAGAGTCCCTTCCTACCATATCTTCTACCGCCACCATAGCTTATCGCGACAGATAGATATGCAACTTTTAGCAGGAGTCATGAGTGCTACCTAGAGGAGGAATGGCCAGCAACCATACTGCTGGGAAAAGTAATAAAAATACTACTCAAAACTATAGAATGTCTGCAAAATGTTCCATATCAATTCCCATTGATACAAAATGTCCACATGTTAAACATTGCTGGAAGTTTCTTAGATTCATGTCCATTCAAATGAAACAACTAAAAGCATCGAAGCCCTACTAACAGGGTAACATGATATCTATCCAGAAACTAAACTTATATAATTTGATCCATTCCCCAACAAGAGGGTCACACGATCCACAAACCAAATTTGAAAATGATATAAATTGATCCATCCCAACAAGTTCTTAGATTCATGTCCATTCAAATGTCAACTATAGTGGACATTCACAAGGAACTAGACACTTCTTCTTCATGTGTCATCTTCCTCTTAACAAACCTGAAAATAGAATTACAAAAATTAAGAATAGTTCTGTCATTCAATTGGTTAAACATTGGTTAAGTCCATATGTTGCTCCCTATAGACATCCTCAAAATAAAAATGCCATACAAAGAACACAGGAAGCATTAGTAATCGAAGTTACTAGATCAATAACAAATAGGCAAAGTTCATTAATTAATTCTAAACTACTCAAAATGATATATAATTTGAAGCACCCTTGACAATTTTCACAAACAGTAGGAATAAAATGAGAGAGAGTAGTATAAATAAAGCATCTACAAATTAAGAGCACAAAAGGAAGACATAAAGAACAAAGGAAGACGTAAAGAACAAAGGAAGACGTAAACAAAGTAACTTGAGAAATGGGAAGCAAGAAGGATTGGACGGGCATTCTCTAGAATAGCAAGAGGGCTACCTATCCCGATCAAGCAAAACTCACAACTAGAACCCATGGAAGGCAAAAGAATTATATATTAGTATTGGTTGCTCATACTTGAATATGTATTTTACAATTCCTCATTGTGTTTTTTGGGCAAAGTTGAGTTCAGTTAACAAGTGGTAATATGGTGGAGACAGAAATATGAATCTTGTATGCAAGGAATTGTTAAGATTATACTCCGTATTGATTATATACATAATCAGAAATTTTAAAATGTAAGTAAGAATGTGTGATAAAAAGACCTTATGTCTAGTTCTGAACATAATTGGATTCGACTTTAAACCAGTAGCTTAAGTAGTTAGCTGATGTGTGTAGAGAGTCGGTGTAAGAGCCTGCAAGCCCGCGCAAATAAAACCAATATCATGTTGGTAAATGGAAATCGTGTTCAGGTTCCTCAAGTCTATGGCAATTTATGTTACATTAGAGGTTAAGTATGAAGATTATACCTATAATAACTCGGGGTAGCCGATACCCACTATCTGCAACCTGAAAATAAAACAAAAACAAATTATAAACTACACAATTTAAACATTCATTTTATTAAAGAACTTCCCTTATACCTTATACAAATCAAATATATATAAAATATTGAACCAATTAGATAGAAACAAGGAAGAAATAACGTAACACCCCCCCCCCCCCCCCCCCCCCCCCCCCCCCCCCCCCCAACACACCCAAAAAAAAAATAAATGACACAAGATAACAATGAGTCGATCCATCCATGGTTTTGGGACACAACTCTAAATTTAGCAGATAGCAGTTATACCAACCCGTATACAAATGGTGATCATCGGAATAAATACAAGAGAAATATGGTAGGATTTAAAGGCAGATATGCAAACAACTCTACTGGAAGCCCTATCCTAAATGAGTTGATCAAATTAAACTTTTTGGAGTACCAAATCATGTGACCTTCTAGAGATTTAGTTAATTTTGTAGGTGATAGTTACAGTAATACCTGTACTGGTTCTGCTTGAAAGGGTAACTTTCACAATAATAGCTTGAAAAAGTTAACACGTACAAAATTATTGGAAGAGCGTGCACCCTCACAAAGATTGTCATTTTGCTTTGAAATAAGAGGAGAAAACTAACACACATGCGTTTGTATGCAGAGTTTTATTAGACGTAGGCTGAAAATTATTTGGGTTCTAATCTTACGATTGAGACAAAGATATTAGGGAATATTTAGCCAGATATCAGAAAATTTAGGATACTAAGCCAAAAAGGCACAAACCTAACCATTTGATTTAAGCTGTATAAGAAAAAACATATTATAATAAATAAATCATAAAAGAATTGAATTTGAAACCATCTATAGAATTAAAACTATAAAGGTGGTTGAGTAATGAGTGAATTTAAGACTTTAAGTTGCTATACCTGGTCATAAAGGGTTGGTATCATAAATGCATTTGAAACCATCTACAGAACTTTCCAGGGAAAAAAAAACGAAAAAGAAAAAAAGAAAAGATCTATAGAAACTAAACTATAAAGGCCATGGAAAAATGACTGAAATCAAATTGCTATATAAATAGTTGGCATCATAACTTCATAAGGGCATTTGAAACCATCGATAGAACCTTCCAGAGAAAAAACGAAAAAAAAAACCCAAAAACCAATCTATAGAAACTAAAACTATAAATAGGTGGTGGGGAAATGAGTGAAATTAAATTGCTATACCTACCTCTAGTCATAAATAGTTGGCATCTTAAGTGTAAGTTTATCAACTTCCCGGTTTCAATGATTTTAGATTTTTTTTACGTTTCTATCAGCTGCAATTACATCAACCCTTGCATCATCAAACAATAAAGCATTTTAAAGTTGACCCTTCGTACTTCACATGCTATGTATATATACCAGTCTTTTCTATCACAATTCCTCAAAATACCAAGTCCCTTCAAAAACCAACTACAGATGAAACAGAGAAAGAGGGATACAGTATTGTATCTCTCTGCTTCAAATAAACACTTAGAAGAGAGCAGAAATTCAAGAATTTAAGTTTCTTTGAAGGAATCTTGGAGAGAATTTATTGGGCTTTGGTTGTTTAAACTCTACAGCTCTTTGCAGTGAAAATGGAGAGTGGTAGAATCAACAGTGCAGGTTTAAGTACTAATATATGGAGGAACAATGTCATGGAAATTTTTTCAAGGCCTACTCGGGAAGCAGATGGTGAAGAGGCTCTCAAATGGGCTGCTATTGAGAAACTACCACCATATCTACGTATAAGGAGAGGTAAACTGACTGAAGAAGAGGGCCAACTAAGAGCAATTGATACAAAGAATCTTGGACTGCTTGAGAAAAAGAATATGTTAAGAGAGGCTTGTGAAAATTACAGAGGAAGATAATGATAACTTCTTGTTGAAGCTCAAGAAACGCATTGAACAGTAATCTCACAAAAATATACACAATCTTGCATCACTAGACTGTAGTCACTGCACTTTGATCTAAATGTTTTTCTTTTAGAATATATATATATTATCAGCTAGGAAAAAAAAAAGTTTTAAATTTTATTTCACCTGAAGCAATCTTTAATAATTTATTCATTTTGGTTTAAAAATGCGCAGAGTTGGAATTAATCTTCCAACAATTGAAGCCGGTTTTAGCATTTAAATGTTGAAGCAGAAGCTTATGTTGGCAGAAAAGCATTGCTTACTGTATTCAATTTCTTGATTAGTATGCTACAGGTAATTCATCTTTTAATTAATACCGACATACATTTACATGATTTATGCCATCATCTTTTCATTTAAAAATTAGACTCACCCTGCAATCTCTCCCTTTCTCTCTCTCTCTAAAGGGGCTCATGAATCATCTCCATATTCTTCCTGGTAAAAAGAAACCATTACCAAGCCTTCATGATGTCAGTGGAATCATCAAGCCTGACAGGTGGAGATGACAAAATACTATAATTGTCCATTATGAACTCTCTTAGCTTCTCATTTCTCATTTCATTTAATCATTTTCGCAAAATGGCATTGCTTCTAGGCCTACCAAGAAAAACCACACTGCTGCTAGCTCTGGCTGGAAAGCTTGGTTCAGATCTAAAAAAGTAAGAAATATTGTAGTCCTTTAACTAATTCCAAGATTTGCTTCATCTGCTGATTTTTTATACATGTGTGTGTGTCCGTATATGTATATCTTCAGTAAGGCTCTTGTGATCTTATATTGTTATATCATATATGCATACTATTGGCGTTGGGGAGAGTGACATACAATGGCCACGAAATGGATGACTTTGTTGCACAAAGAACATCAGTTTATATGAAAGTCAATATGATCTTCATATAGGAGAAATGACAGAGAGAAACATATGGTTTTTTCAGCAAGATGTCAAGGGGTCGGACCCCGTTATGGTCAGTCAAATTGCCATAAATTTTGAAAAAATTAAGAGCAAGTTCAAACAGGAGGGGATTACTTGAGTTACATCAGATCCTTTTTCAAGATCATCAACCAGTAAAAGGGTTCTCTCTGGCTGCATTCGTGCTAAATATGCTTCATGCGCAGCTCTCTCATGAGCCTCTTCTTCCTCCTTTTGCTTCCCCTCAGCTTCAGCTGCTTCCCTTTCTATCCTTTCTTGCTCTTCCTTAATCTGGCATTCCCTAGCCTTATGTGGCCGACAATGAAGGCATCTTAGCTGACCTGGACTAACCTAGCAAATAACATAAAGCAATGACCAAAGCTAAAAAGCAACATACTTGATCAGCTTCAAGTGCTGCTCGATAAGCAGCATCTTGCTCCTCCCTCAGAAGCATGATGTTTATACCTTCTTCTGCATCATGCGTTGCTTCAACAATAGCAGGAGCACTCTCTTCAATCACTCTCTGTGATGCCGTGAGCATCTCTTCAGGAGATTCTGGACCCTCAACCTGCAAGATGATAAGAATAAGAACATGAATAGAAAAACATTTACTTATCCAAAAATAATAATAATAATAAATAGAAAAACATTCAGCTTCATGATGATAGCTGATAACAGAACAAAATAATTGAAGCAAGTTGTTGTCACATGACTACAGTACGAGCACACAGACAAAAACAGAGAAACAAACATTCAGCTTTAAAGATGATAACTGATACAACACAACAACAACAATAACAACCACAACAACAACAACCACAACAACAACAACAACAACCAAGAACCAAGCCTTTTCCCAACTACAAGATGATAGCTGATAACCGGACAAATTAAATAAAGCTGTTATCAAATGACTGCAGTACGAACACGAAGACATAAACAGAAAAACATACATTCAGCTTAAAGATGATAAACAAACAAATTATATAAAGCAAGTTTGTTGTCACACGACTTCAGAACGAACACGCACACACACATTGAGAATGAGAATCGACTTAAAATGGATAAAATTCTAACTTCTCTCGTGTGTAAAATAATGTTACTTTCTGTGTGGCATATGGCCTTTCATAGCAGACCACAGACGCAAATTAGAACACAAAAAAAAGAAAATAATGACGTGTTTCATATTATTCTGGGGAGAAAGTAGGATATATAAATGAAACAACCATTGATGAGAAGTGTATACACTATATAGTTCAACAATGGAATCCTCTGAGGTCAGGTTGAGTTCAACCTAGATTTGTTGATCCAAGGATTAGAAGGGCAACCTAGATTCTTCTTCTCTATCTATCAGAAATTTAAGTATTTAATGCGTTCCCCCTGAGAAATTTGAAAAATACAAAAATCAATTATCCCAAAAATTGAATTGTTCGAGTACATAATAGCATTTATACGGGCAAACATAAACAAACCCTAAGAAACATTAAAAATAGCAAAATAACCCTAAAACAATACATTACCATTAAATATAATGAACATAAATATGTAACCCTAATTCACAAAAAATTCTAATTCTATTTATCTTTTCCCCTTTTCCAATAGTAGGTGCAAGTCATATGTGGTTCAAGCTCTTGGGTTGTATCTATTTCTCCATCAGACAATCTCTTCATTCAATCTCAGAATTTTCAACTATAAAGGATCTCAATGCACCAAAAAGAGACCTCACGAAAACTAGAGACCAAATTCAATTCTATAATTGGGAGAGGAGCAAAAAATATTACAAGGAATTAGGAAGTAGCTATAAAGATGTATACAAGAAGAATAAAGAAAGGAATGAACAACTTCAACCAAGCCATTTGTATCAAATACAGTTTGGCTCAAAGTGTGCCCCAGGTGTACAATTGTAATTTCCTTGCTTACAGGTGTGCCAAGACTGTCAAGTCCAAATTTGCAGCTGAGCTGGCTATAACCAAGCTCTAAGAAGCCAAGCAAATATTCCTGATTGCCACGGTCGCATGGGCCTGTAGACTTTGCTTTATCTAACTAGGGTGATTGTGGAGAGCAAGAATGACCCTTTCACTGGTTCTGTCACTTTGGCCCTACTCAAAAGGCTCTGTTGACTTCTTTGAAGTTATATTTTGTTATTTTCTGGAGGGGGAGAGAGAGAGATTTCACAACACTTCAAGCAAAAAGTAACCATCTAGTCATTAAGTTGGAATAGTAGATGAAGATCAGTTATAGTTTCATAAGTATTACAAAGCTTTGGTCCTAGTTACATTCTAACATAGTTCGCCCAAAGGCATGCTCCATGAACTGTAAACTCACAAACTGAAACACTAAGCTAACCACTTCAAACATTGAATTGAAAAAAAGCAGTAAATGCAAGGAATTTAAAGCCTAACTACAACATTAAACTTAAAGAAAACATAGTGGAAACAAGGTATACACTTTGAGCTACACTGCTGGAACAAGCTTTGAAAATAAACTAGGCCTGGAGACAATAAGGAATGTCTGTTCTGTTGGTGCAGGACCTTTGCTCAGACATAAATGAGTTATGTTTATAGTAGGAACACAGCTAGTTTGGCCATTGGATCATTCTCTCGTGGACAGCTGAGATGCATCCTTGTTGCAAGCTGGCACTTGATCACGTGAGAGGGAAAAAAGTGACACTTGATCAGAAATTAATACTGCAGCACCGAAGGAGATTAGGGGCACCATGTCTGATGGGATGCTTTGGGAACCCACTTTCCAATGTGTCAGACACTTAAGTGTTTTTTCATCTCAGATCATGTATTTGAACAAGCAACAGCAAACAAATCGGCTGTAGCTCTGTTGGTCAAGAGGTGATTCTTTCAAATGTGCTTGTTTCGGGCGAAGGGCCTATGTCACAGGCCTTGACATGTTAACACATGCTTCCGTCATCGCCCTTGGCTTTAGGTAAGTACTCACACAGTTTGCCCATGCCTGGGCACGAACCCCTCCCCTCCTCTTTGAGGATGGGGAGGTTATACCATTGAGTATGATCCGTAAATTTTCAGCACACATGAAAAAAAAAAGTGGGCGAGAGACTATTATAGAGTGCCTTAATATCTGATCTACCCTTGAATTACTATATGAAGAGAAGGCCCTCAAATTTATACGGAGTGAAGCGGAAGTAAAAGAACACCCTAATCCCCAACTTGGAACAAAAAAATACAGTTTCACATAATTGTTAAAGAGTGTAATTATGGTCATTAAAACAAATGCATGTTTTCTCATCGAAACTACCAGCTAAGGCCAATAAGAGGGTATGAAGGCAAACAGCAAGTTAATGCAGTGGGTAAGAGATCTTTTTGCCTAATTTGTTCAATGACGTCACAAAACTCCTCTCATGCCTGTCCAGCAACAGAATTACAGAACCCATGCAGCATGAAGTTAATTGCTACTCCTTGATGAAAACTAAAATTTGCAGGCTGATGTCTAAATTTCTAATCCACATTACAGCTCCCAATTCTCTACATCCCACCACAAAATTATGCCATAACCTATACCTAACTTTTAACTCAAATGCAATCAAGTTCTTTAAACATCTTAAAATGCATTTGATTACCTAAAATTGGTTATAACAATCACATTACAAAACATTGTAATTTGCAAATTGAATCTCTGAAACTATAAGATCCCTCAATATTCTATTTAGCTCTCAAACAAAGCACAAAATAATAGGATTATCTAACGAAAAGGCAGCAGGGAGTCACTTCGCTTTGATCCCCAAGAATTAAACAAGAAATAGATCCTATCCCATTAATGAGCATAAAAAAAGGGATGCCTCTGAAATGCATCACTCAACATATTTGCTCCTCCATCCCAAGATCCACTCAATAAGATAGAGCCATATCTTTGTACCTTATTGCCTGACACCCCTGATCTCACTACACTTCATATAATTAGGATTTAAGTTACTAAGCTATTATTGTTACCTGTACAAAGGCACTCCAACAGTACGATGCAAAACAGAAAACTAACTCATATCACTGAACTGGCACACCCAAGGAACAATATTAATATGATAAAAGGTACATTGCAGTTCACTTAATATATAATGTGCATGAACTATTTGGGCATCTTGAATCAATCCCCAAAGCTTCACATATAGCACATATAGTGGAAAGCTGAAACTACCAGGACAAAGGATTTCATTGCCATCTCTTCTTAAGGCTTCAACAATCATCAATTTCTAACGAACTGACCATAAAGGAGAATAGTAACACCACCGCTCCATATAGCATTTCAAACTAACCTTTACAAAGCTAACCTCATGATATAATTTCTCCCAGCAACCACTGCCAATAAAATAAATAAATTGTCCCTGTGCTAAATTTGTTACACAGCAAAACAATAAAAATAAAATAAAATAAAAAGATAATCTAGCACACGAGTTCCTCCCTTGAGCCACTAAACCTCAATTACCATGTATGACCGTGTCCTCCTTTCACAAAGACATCAAGGCTACCTCCTTTGACTAAATATTGAAATTCTTACAACACAATTCATTTAAAAAAAAATTTAAATGATCTAGTCATCGGTCTTTATTGTCTTAATGCATGAAAAATCATCAATTTTTGAAGAACCTGATACGAAATCAGTTGATTTGCAATGCATTTTGAAATAACCTACCAATGCTAATCTCATCCTCTATGATATTGGCACTAAACCTCGAGCCACTAAACCTCAATTACCATGTATGACTGTGTCCTCCTTTCACAAAGGCATCAAGGCTACCTCCTTTGACTAACTATTGAAATTCTTACAACACAATTCATTAAAAAAATATATATATTTAAATGATCTGGTCATCAGTCTTTATTGTCTTAATGCATGAAAAATCATCAATTTTTGAAGAACCTGATACGAAATCAGTTGATTTGCAATGCATTTTGAAATAACCTACCAATGCTAATCTCATCCTCTATGATATTGGCAAATCTGCTGTGGCAAAACAGCTCCTTGTATCTCCCAACGCCAAAGTTAGCATTACATATGTTAATTGGAAAAAAATAACCTAGCAATTTTTTTCCTTCCTCAAGCCAGAAAACCATCAATTACCATGCATCACCTAGTCCTCTTTTGCAAGACAACCAAAACATCTCCTCGTTATGACTAAATTCTGGAATCCTTATAAAAGAATCCATCCTTGAAAACCCGTCAACACTCGAGAAAACCCTGGTCAATCAAGTCTAGTGTTATTAAAGGCTCAAGCCGCTAGAGGTCCTTTGGAGCCTAGGCGCGCGCCTAAGTGAAGTGAGGCGCATAATTGATATTTTAAATTACCATAAAAGCATTCATATCTCATAAGTCGTATCAATATTCTAAAAATTAATATCAAATATAAAAAAGTAAATCCATCAACTATATAAGCATTCAAGAACCATAAAACACAGCACAAATTTGTTTTCTTGAAAGGCAAACCAGAATTTGTTTTTTTGAATGGGAAAACAGAGCACAAAAAGAAATAAATCTATTTAAAAAAAAAAAGAGTAGAGACAAAAGAAGTGGATGAAGAGAGAGTAGATGAGAAAAGAGACAGAGAGTGTGAAGAAAAAGGAGAAAAAACAGAGCCCCAAAAAAAGAAAAAGACAGAGAGAGAAGACAACTAGATGAAGAGAGAGAAGTAAGTAAAGATGAGAGGAGAGAGAATTAGAGAAGAAGACGCTTCATCGTTCGTCTCTGCAACTAGGGCTTTGTCATTGGTCTCACAATCTCACTCTTTCTATGTTCGGTTGACACTTTGACTCTTGGGCTTTCTTATTTGTTTATTCTTTTGAACAAAAATTCCTTCTCTCATAAGCTTGGGGTTTCTTATTAGTTTATTAAGTTGCCAAAAGTACCCTTTTTGGCTTCAGAAATAGAATAATTATTATTTAAAAAAAAAAAAAACAGTGAGGCGCGCCTCACAACAAATAGGACGAGGCACACGCCTAGTAAACATCAATGAACCTGGGATAACAACAAGCGCTAGACCTGCACCTAGAGCCTCGGCGTGCGCCTGTAACAACATTGGTCAGGTCCTCAATTCATTCGACCAAAATACTTTTGGTTATCAGACCATCACTCTTTTTCTTTTCATTTTTTCTTTTCTGATAAGTAAAACCAAAATCACTAAAGGCGCTCAAAAGGGGAGCGCTCCCAAGGAAACAAAAGCCGTCCAGGACGGCACTATAACTTAAGACTATCCACAAAATCCAAAAGACTAACAATAGAGTGACAATCCCACCAATTGACCTAAAAGAATAAGGAATCAGGCCATCACTCTTGCAAGAACCTTGGGTTAATCATCAATGCATGTTGTCAGATTACAGACTGAATGATCAACATATATGCCATCATACTGTCAAACTAACACAATATCTTGCAAATTTCAAGAGAAAAAAACATGAGACTGCTTGGATTATCAATTCCAAAAGTTACTCTCTAGAGCTCCAATACAAGATTTTTCTTTTCATGAGAAATACTTCCTAGAAGGCAGAACTAATTTAGTCCGTGAGGAGTGCAGAAAACCTAAGGATGATGTGTGGAGATATTTACAAGGAAATATATGATATTTAACAAACTAGAAAATGTAGACTGGCAATAGGTATGTGCAGCAGAATAACAAAATGATTGAGATGAATATTAGATTATGCAGATAAACCTAGATATAATAATCTTAGAACTATCAATGAACATGTTTCTCAAAGACACCCTTTCCCAACTAGAGTTTCTTCACTTTATGTCAGCAAATGAAGTAAAAAGATAAAAGAAAAGAAAAAGAAATCGCGAAGGGAGTGGAAAGGTAATGGGTTGGTTATCATAACTCAACCATTATTATGTGATAATAATAACTCCTCACTATGCTTTTATAGGAGTTTTTCAGGCACCGCATTCAAAAAAAGGTTCCTCAAATTCAAACAAATATGCGAAGTTTTTTTCTTCTTTTTTCACCCACCTTTAGAAGATAAGAGACAGGGAATTGGTTGCTTGTAAGTAGGCAGAGGTTCAATTCAACTAGTAGAGTTGAATCCAAATTTTGTAACGAGAGCCCTTAGAGACTCAAGTGAAACCGAAATCCCAAAACCATCTTTCATCAACTAAAAATCCTAGGGCATCTGAATGTTTTGGCCATATACTCGCACATACACAAAAAAAAAAAAAAAAAAAAAAAAAAAAAAAGAAAAGAGGGTCCCTATTCTCAAACGAAATAAAATGACAAAAATCAACAGCCTCATATCACTTTCTCCATCATAAATAAAGCAGGCCTTATACTTTAATGATCGAACTGTATTTTTCAAAATACAAAGAAATTTTTATTACATAGATTAATCAAATGTTTAAACCAGCTTGGCATAAAACAATTGGTGAGCAACATTGGGGAGTTTAGCAGGTATGTCTTACTGATGACTTGGCAAAAATGATAAAACTTGAATAAATGCAATCAAAGCCAAACAAATGAAATATGAATAAGGAAAGAAAAATAAAATCACGAGTAACATCGACAGACAATAATATAGTTAACTGAGTTGACAACACAATCAACAAAATGGTAACATGAGCGTGTGAGAGTTAAGAACCCCAAAACTAGTAGTATAGCACATGATAGTTATTCAGAGTAAGCTTCAAATAATCATTGCATGTAATTATTAGAATATTACCCAACATAAAATTCTAGGTTTCGTTTCAAATAACTAAGAAAAGGCTAGGTTCTGTTGACTTAAGAGTGGTATATTCTAGTTTGTTCTGTTCTAGCAAAAAAAATTGAAAAGGAGTAAGAACCCTAGGAATCAAACCTGCTGAAGTAGGGCAATCCTATGGTTTGTGGTGGCCATAACCACAGCACAAAATGGAAACCTTGACACCTTCAAGCTGTTACTCATGCCAGCAGTGTTCGGTTCATTTTTAATTGGTTTCAGGATGTATTTGAAGATGATAAAAAATGCTAAATTGCAGGAATTGAAGTTGTCTAAAGATTCCATATATGTAAGAATTTAATAAGTGTTTGGCATATCAACCAAAAAACACATAAACCAAGTTTGCGAAATTAAAAAAGCTAAATTTGTAGCCTTAATTGAGAATTTGAAAGTTGTGATCTTTGTGATTAATGAGAATTTGCTTGTGTGCCACCTACAGGACCCATCTCGACTGAGCTAGAACCCTGAAGGATAAATTTTGGAGCTCTAATACAAACGGGTTCTCCCGTACGTGTTCTTTACATCCTAGAAAGAAAGACTTCTTTCTAGGATGTAAAGAACACGTACGGGAGAACCCGTTTGTATTAGAGCTCCAAAATTTATCATTGACTTTCTTTCAAGGATGTAAAGAAACTATTGAGTTTTTCTGGTTAATTGCTTCTTTCTAGGATGTAAAGAACACGTACGGGAGAACCCGTTTGTATTAGAGCTCCAAAATTTATCATTGACTTTCTTTCAAGGATGTAAAGAAACTATTGAGTTTTTCTGGTTAATTGCTTCTTTCTAGGATGTAAAGAACACGTACGGGAGAACCCGTTTGTATTAGAGCTCCAAAATTTATCATTGACTTTCTTTCAAGGATGTAAAGAAACTATTGAGTTTTTCTGGTTAATTGGAAGCACCCAGTGACTTTCTTTCTAGGATGTAAAGAACACATACGGGAGAACCCGTTTGTATTAGAGCTCCAAAATTTATCATTGACTTTCTTTCAAGGATGTAAAGAAACTATTTGAGTTTTTCTGGTTAATTGGAAGCACCCAGTTGTGAAATTTCATTCACTTATGTTGGAAATTTCATTATAGGTCTAATTATTATTATTTTTTTAATTGCAAGGGCAGATAATTACAGAGTCACTGGCAGTTCAACTAGCTTGACCATCATATAATGCAAGAAGTCCTCGTTGACAAACCTAACTACAGTCATGGGCTCATGTATGGCATAAAGCTCATTTCATCAGGAGGATGCACGGGAACGAAATTGGAGGCAACTAGTAGGAGGGCTGAGGGCGCAAAAAGGAATTGTGTTGAGGCAATGGAAAGAGCAAAACAATTGGAAGAGAGATCAAGAAGAGGATCGATGAGAAGGTTTGAATTTTGTTGTTGACTTTTCTTATTCAAGCTTTCCAATTGTTTAACTTTTTTCGAATTTGTTTTGATTTAAATTTAAATTTTTTTTTTCTTTTTTTTTTTTCGAAACAAATTATTTGCAACAAAATTGGATCATAGTGCAAGCCAAGATATATTTGCAGGCATTGTTAAGAGAATTGCTCAGTCCTAACTTTGTAGCAAATAGTTTAACATTTGCTATAAAATCAAATTGTAGTAAATATAATTAGATTTGCTACCAAACTCAAAATTTGTGACAGAAAACCTAATTAGGACAGAACCATGTAGTAGTGCCGCCTCGACTGACATTCTTTTTTATTTATATTATGCACCTAAAATTTTGTTAAAATTCTAATAATACTCCTTATATTTTTTTTAATTAAACACCCTATACAACCCCACAAAAATTTTCTTTGTTTATATAACATAACTAAAACTTTCCTAGTATGTTAGCTTGATAATAATCAAAATGAAAGTATTTTACCTATAAAACTAATTGAAATGGAAGTATAAGCAAGTTTTACTTAAAAATCAATTAATGGTAATTATTATTATTATTATTATTATGGTAGGACTTTACACACACACATATATATATATTGGGTGGATCATATATAAATCAACCAGTTTAAACCTGATAGCCTTGAGGAATCGGAATCGGAATCGGAATCGGTTCCAGACGCCTCGATGAATATTCCCTAGACAGTAGGGAGCCTATCCCGCTGATGATGCAACCAGAACAAAAGAAAATGTATAAAAGAACTGTAATTAGCAGATCATATATATATATATATGTATGGAAAGAGAGCGCGTACGGAATACGTCGAAGGAAGTCGCCGTTCCTTGCTACTTTTCCATACATAGCTATTTTTCCTTTTTCTGGTTTAATAACGATTACAACATAGTCGACCAAGTGACTTGGATTGAGCGTCGCTTCTGTTTCGCGATTATTCTTGAAAATCCTCAAGACTATGTCCTGGCCGGTGGCGATACTTTCGTCGCGAAATTTCGTAGCGCTAACTCCCGTCGGTTTCAGATGGTTTACAGTAATCGTCTGGGTTTCGTCTATTACTCCCGAATACTCGGGTTTGATCTGTATTATGTCGGAGCCGGGATATCCACTTTTAAGTAAGCACACAAACATGATTGAGATGGCATGGAAACAGAAAACCCTAATCACAAAGTTCAGTCGCAGTGATCTAGGGTTTCAAGGTCAGGAACGTCGAATTCGATTAATGCTCTGTGACGGTGGTGAACTTAGCAGCTTCTCTACACTGTGACTGTGATTGCTTAGGTGTACGGCAGATTTCCGCTGCTCCATCGCGGGGTGGAGATCGCGCCACCTCAGCAATTGAAGATTCGAATTCCGATTCGTATCAAACAAAACGCTAGCCCAAAGTAAGACACCCGTAGTTGCGTCATATGGGCTCGATGTAGTCGAACCCCAAGCCCAGCTAGGGGGGAAACCTATTATTCCTATTAGGTAGCCTCGCATGGCTGAATTCTATGGCTCTGGCCCACCATCAGCCCAATAAGCCACCAGTCATTATTCTGTAGAGAAAATGGGCTAAAAGGCACTAGATGTTGCCCGCAAAACCCAACAAAGGCAATCAAAGCCCAAATTCTTAAATCACCCCATTTGTAAAATAAAGCAAATGGGTTAGAAGGGAATAAATGTTGCCCGTAAAACCCAACAAAAGCAATCAAAGCCCAAAGGCTTAAATCAGTCCATTTGTAAAATAATAACAATGTACTCGCATGACGCTCTCTCTCCTCAAGTTTCGTTTGGATTGAGATGACATCAAAAATGTACATTCTCACCATTTCCCTCTTCAAACCAATATGCAATAGTGCGTATAGAAACAAGCAGCGGAGCATCACCGAAATTGGTGGAAAACTTGATGCGACCGCCTTCTCCAACTCTCCCAAGAAGATATAAAATGAAAAAGAATATTATTACCCGTGGAATACAGCATGACAGTGGCAGAGTGCAACATCCTTCCAAAGTTGGTACATCAATCTCTGCAATTAAAACCACCAAATAATTAAAAAATAGTTCCTTCTTGTTGTGCACATGTTCTTTAAACCTTGCTGCACATTTGTTCAATCAAGAGGATGATATTCAATTATGGGCGAAGTGTTGGTTTTGGGTTTGAAAGTATATAAATCCTACACTGATGCCACATTACTAGATATGAATGATTTTATAACAGAGGTAACTTGAGCTGAGAGATGGGTTGAGATTTAACTAGAGGTTAAAAAATGTTAATCCAAATGCATTCAAGTCAACTTTCAAACCGAGATCTTTCCCGGGAACAAATAATTAATAATAATAATAATACCCTTCAAAGTTAGATCGATCTACACTAACAGGGTCCAGGTTGCGGTTGCTGTTACCCTAAAATATTTGAGCTTGGATTATGTTGAGATTGGGGAAATGAGATGAAATTAAAGTTGGTTGGTTTATGGCTTGTATTATGTTGAGATTGGGAAAATGAGATGAAATTAAAGTTCTTGGTTTATTTTTACAAACATACTTAGAAAAATACTAATATTTACAATAATAGTAAGGAATTCATACATACATTTTTTTTTTTTCTTTTGTCTTTTTGAGTCTGCACAATAACAAGTTTTCGAGTGGCACAGTGGATCAAACTTATTTACAAACCACTGTACAAATGAACAGAGTTTCTTCTCGCCCTTTCAACAACCAACCCTCTTCGCCATCTCTGCCAGCACCCTCAATCTGCTTCTGATTTCTTCAGCTTAATTCTTCGCTGCCTTGACCGCCTTCTCTAAACTGCCACTCTAACACCATATACAACTGAGACTATGGAAATCTCGTAAGTGTGCCAAAACATACATATACAACTGTATTGGCCTCTGTCAATGGATGATATCTCTTCTTCTTCTTCTTCTTCTTCTTTAATAAAAAAAAAAAAAAGAAAAAGAAAAAAAGAAAACAATTATTATTGCTATTCATATTTAATAGCCTAGCAAACTGGAAAACAAAACAATATTCATCCACCTACCGCATGGACGGCCGGACAAAGAAACGCTGAAATTGGGTTGTTGAGGGTCAGGAAGGATTAATGTAGAGTTTAGATGGCGGGTAATCCAAGTTTTTCCATGTGTCGACTTCCAGTCGTCGGCCAACATCTTATAGTTTAAGCCAAACTAACTTCGTCATGTACAACTGCTTCACGTCAATTAGAGGAGCGTCAAACTTATTTTACTATCCCATTGTGGGGCCCAGTTTTGGCATGTTTCTCGTATCTCTTTCTAAATATATATATAAATAAACACAATTAAAAATTTATATACTCAACTACTACTGCTTATTTTTTTAAAATGGCAAGGAGTGTGGCTCAAAATTTTGCAATTTTAACTGAAATAATTATTTTGGCTTTAGATAAAGTGTTTTTTTTTTATTTATACTAATCTATTTTTTCAGAACTCTTTTTTTAAACAAATGCAAATAAATCATTCAATATAAAATAATACTAATAATAACAATAATAATAAAAATTAAGAGACTAAAAAAACGATTATTTAACAGTTTAGAAAATTTTGTAATTGAATATTTTGATTCTCCACAGTATAATATAAACTAACTTCGTCATTCACAACTGCTTCACCTCAATTAGAGGAGTGTCAAACTTATTTTACTATCCCATTGTGGGGCCCAGTTCCGGCATGTTTCTCGTATACCTTTCTAAATATATATGAATAAACACGCAATTAAAATTTTCTGTACTCAACTACTGCTAATGTTTTTTAAAATGGCAAAGGGGATTTGCTAGTTTGGTATAATTTCTGTTTCTAGTTTTTACTTAAAAAAAAAAAAAAAGTCAGAAGTTATCAATATTTTTTTTTAGGTTATCTGTGTTGGAAAACTTAATTTAAAAGACCATTTTAATATTAAAAGAGTTTTTTAATCTGTTTGACAAAACATTTACTGAAACCCTTCTTCTACTGAAATAATTATATTGTCCTTAGAGTATTTTTTTGAACTAGCCTATTTTTTCATAACTCTTTTTTCAAACACATACAAATAAACCACTCAATATAATCAAATTTATCCACAACATGCCATATTTTACATAATAATTAATAATATTAATAATAACAATAAAAATTAAGAGATTGCAAAAAACTATTTAACGGTTTAGAAAATTTTGTAATGAAATTTTTTTCTTCACATTGTTAATGTCTATAAAATGAGGTAAACAACAAATATAATTAAGTATCCTTATAATAACAAACTTAGTTATATAATAAGGAAACTTAATTATATTATAAGAAAATGAATGAAAAAGAAGAACGAAAAATATTGTTGTTTCCTTATAATAACAAACCTAATTATAATATAAGGAAACTTAATTATATTATAAGAAAATTAATAAAAAAGAGAAAAATATTAGGGTGTGAATTGGTTTGTATACCACCAAATTGCAATACAGTAACCATGGAAGAGCTATGCAAGCTAGACTTCTGTAAACTCATGAATTGAATCTTTGATGAATTAATCTGATAAAAAAAGTAATTTTATTTTTTGATAAATAACAGGAATACATTGTTGCAACAAAGGGAATTCAATTTGAAGGTACAAAAAAACTTAAATATTTTTTTTTCAAAAATTAAAAAAACTTAAAGATTTGTGATGATAGGATGGAGCATTGAAATACAGTGATTATTCCTATATATGGAAGCTGTAGGTGATTGTTTGTTGAAATAAAGAAACGTTGGGTGCCTATTAAAATATTTAGAGAAGACCGAGAGAAAAAAAAATGAACTTGAAGAAATAGATAGAGAACAAAAATAATCTTCTTCAAATTTTTTCTCCAGTTGAATGCTTGTTGGATCGTTGCTATGTTTTTCCTAAGATCATTCTTCTTCTGAGTTTGAAGGGATATATTGCCAGAGAACACCAAGGTGAGTTTTTTTGACATTAGGGTTTGGAAATAAAATTAAGGGGTCTTTTATAGGGATACGGTTGGAATTATATTTTTTATGAGATAATATAAAAGGTATGCTTCTCATTTAAAATGTTTCATTAATGCACCCAAAACTCTTCTCGTGTATTTTAAAAGAGTGTTTTGGATAAGTTGGTGCCCCTCAACTTCTCCAAAACGCTCTTCTAAGGCCCAAGAGCTCTCTTTAAAAACTAACCAAACGCTACCTAAAATAGCTTTCAAGCCTAAAAATCCCGAAATAGCATTTGAAAAGCCAATCCAAACAAGCCCTTAATAGTTAATGGAGATTAGAGAAAATGGGATTCGAATATATGATTATAGTGATCTAATTGTTATAACACAATTTCAGGGTGAAAAAAATTTCTTTTAGTCTTTTTTTAATCTTCTATAGCTTTTGTTATTTGTGGATGCCCCCAGAAAATTCAAAATTTTATTTTTTGGCCCCTTTATATATTGAATTTTTTTAAAAATTATAACTAATATGTGCCCGGCCCCTCAAACTCAAAAAAAAAAAAAATATATCGATTGACTCTGGAAAACTTTTTTAAAACACTTACTTGCCTAAAAAAATTTTGAATTTGAAAATAAACATAACTTTTGTCTCATAAGTACTCAGTATAAACTTTCAACTCTAAAGTGGCATGGAATAAATATTATTTTCCTAAAAGAGCTAGGGTACTAAGTTTGCCTAATTTGCACACATGGAATGAAAGTGTTGTCATGAAGCACTTTTGGCATATTATATATTAACTCAAAAGACATGTTGTGGGTGAAATGGATACGCACCTATTTACTGAAGGACAGAAATGTTTGGGAGGTTAAGACACCTAGACAATGCTCTTGGAGTTGGAGAAGAGTACTCAGCCTTAGAGATTCTATTATGCCCCTTGTCAAGCTTGAAATTGGAGACAGAACTATATCCAATTTATGGTTTGCAAGTGATGCCATCTTGGTCCACTTCATCAATATATTTTACCCCAATAGATGATTGATTCAGGATTTGACAACAAAACCAAACTAAGTACATTCATCACCACCAATACATGGACCTTTCCAATAGCCATCCTCAGCCTCTTGCCATAGCTATAATGCAGATCTTCACTCCCAACTCCTAAACCCAATTGTAGAGACAAATACATCTGGCTCCGATCCACTTCTAGTTAATTCTCCAGCTCCAAAACCATGAAACATTACAACCAGCATCTTACTACTCTACCATGGCCCCATCTTGTTTGGTCTAAACCATTAATACCAAAGTGCTCCTTTACCCTCTGGGTTACTATCTAGCACAGAC